ATCGTTGCTACTTCCAGTTGATCATATATTTTTGAAACGTAAAATTGATTCATTTCCTTTACCACACGACATAGATGTTATTCTATGTCTCTGTTCCTACTTACTGATATATACAATTCAAAATTTGTTACATATGATAACATGGGAAGTTTATGTTGTTACCGAGATACACATAGCATGATGACATTGCGACTGCACCAGCCTTTTCATTCTTTTTTTCTGACATTCTTTGCAAAATTTATGTTTTTATAATTTCCACTTAGGTGGCCTTTAAATTATATCTTTTCAATATTTCTGAATTGTCTTTCAGTCCTCGTGGTATTTATATCCATTCGTTGCAGTTTTTCAGCGATTGCTACAAACTTTTGCAGACAGTTATACCCTGATTTGTTGTACATGTATATAATTGAAGATATTCATTCGAAATGCAGGCATCTGACAGGACTTTTAAAAGAACATTTTTACGGAACATGTCTACAAACTATTGTTGTTGATGGTTTTCACACATTTTTATTCCTGTCAGTATGTTATTTATCGAAAAAGTCGTGAAAATTTCCTTGAGAAAAATATTTGACGTCACCAAAATCATTACGTTTTACTCACCCTTTATTTTATATTCAAATAGTAATAGCAAAATATCTTACGCGTTGACCCTATATTTTTATTGCATAAATATTTTCTTTTATGACTTCACTACATGTTAAAAACAATTTAAGCAAAATTCACCGTGTTGATTTTTTATTATTTCACAATCTTTATTGCGATATCGCGCGATATTTGCATCAAATATGGACGTCAGAACGTGAGGGAAAATAACGTAGAATCGCAGAGTATTAAGCAAATGTTCAAGAAAGACATCGTTACAAAGTCATACATTTACTGAACATTATAAAATTAAAATGAAGGAAATCGGATGAAAATTGATAATAACAGACCGGTTTATTGATAAAAAAGACGCAATTTCAACGCCACCGATAGAGGGCGCTTTGACGTCATAGTAACGCTGTTTATTTATAAAATAATGCTGCAGAAGTAAAGCTTACATATCTACATGTCTGTATACCAGAAATCATCAAGATCTGAGATATTGTCAAATTTCGGTCGGAAAGTAGCGAGCTACCTTAAGAAACAGCAATTAAAGAAATATTCTGACTGGAGTTTTAATAGTTATATATTTGTATTTATCCATCTTTGGCTAACTGTCGGTAACTATTGCAGCAATATATAGGAATCACTTTTTTGTGCTTTCTTCATTATCGTGGTTATTATTTACGAAACTATCTTGACAGAAACAGAAAAAGATAATTAACAAAATGAATTAAAATTTTATTAATTTATTCAATACAATCAATATGATTGCCATAGCGTGTATTTTTATAAATACAATATGTCCCTTTAAACATTTAAAACTTTAATGAAATATTTAAATCCCAAAATATATCTGTAGCCTGTAAATATATAAAGCATTTCGTGGGATGCGTCCGGTTTGCTAAATAGCACTGTTGGAATGTGAATTGGACGTACCCCGTTCGATTCCCGAACGATGCAGGTCACTTTTGTTGAGATTGGTCATAAAATCCTTTCGACAGTCATTCGCAATGTACCTCTCCTCTGGCATGTACAGAAATTATCGATTCCTTGCAAAAATGATCCGGAATGAAAACTACAAACAATACAACCGATTCCAAGTGTTTTAGTGCATTTTTAAAAGAACTCGCATACAAATGTACACGATGTACAAGAGCAGTTTCTTCATGAAGTATCAAAACAATATGACAAAATGAATGTGTGATTCAAGGATAAATACATACAATGTTTTTAAAACATACTTGTTAGCATCTATAAAGGCCCACAAAGCCTCTTGAATATTGTTTGTTTTTCTTCCTAAATCTTGATGTCCTGTAACAATTTCCAAAAAGTTAGTTATCAACAATAAAGCGGAGCCATATCCCGCTTCTGTAGCGTTTTGTCTGTTAGTACCGTTTATACTGATTCAGACTGACGTCTTACTATACTAAACTGTCAAATTCAATTGGTCGACGAATGTAAGCTTAATATTCATATTATAGACAGTAATCTGACATGAGGCAGCGATCCGTTTACAGCATAGCGCTGGTTCTACCAAAACTGCCAAGCCGGTCGCTGGTTATACTCTGTTGATTGAAATAATGCACGATTGGGTGAATCAAATTCTTACAAAAGATTACAATTTGCAAGTCTCCTATTTACCTTGCATGAATAACATTATGATATTGTCCATTGTAGTATATATAGAGATTTCATGGTGTTCTTCGAATGACCTGGCAAAGCTACATAAAATATCCAAGTTTTGAAACTTTTACCAAACAAATTAAAGTTCATTCCTTTTCCATTTTAATTGCTCCTCCTTTCTACCAGAGGAGACAATTCCGATACAGAAGGCATATCAATATCTGGTGTAAGTGCGTCCATCCAACTCGAAACATCTTCATTTTTTTCCACTTCAAACACAAGACCTTTTGATTCGTTTGATCCACCGGAATGCTTTTTCTCGCTTTTGCAGATAATTATTTCGTTTTTCTCAAACGAGTTGTAGATCTTACATTTCCGCATGCTGATGTACCCGAACATAAACTTGTAGTCCGAGTCAGTGTACAACTGGGCGTGGTGTTCATATTCATTTCGAAATATCTTCATGAACATGCTGTGCTTGGCACGCTTTCCATTTGACATCTGTATTAACATAATCCGGCCGGATTTTATATCAATTTCACAACTTCCACTCTTGTGCATGCAGCCTAATCTTTGTGAACTCAACAATTTTTCCATTTCTGTAAGTCTCGTTGTTTTCAGTGTGCCGCAAAAAAGATTCTGAGAAGGGCACGTTAACACATGTCTATATATCTTGCGCTCATGACGTATATTATCATACAACCTTTAAATTGACATTTATATGTCGATATAATAATACGTCACACATTGTACGTAGATGTTACAAAAAGAGCTCATAAACGTATCCTAATCGTATGACTCTTCCATTAGATCATATGAATCGTTCTCTCGTAACAATGTGACTTTCTCCGACATGTGATTGTCCGTACGAAAGACTAATTGAAGCCGTCCGAGGTGTTCCAATTGGTGAATCGATTAAGTTTTCTAACTTCGATTTTTCTAATATGGGAGTAAGAACATCCGGCCACACATATACAAGACACTCATTTGGCCTCTGAACAAGCAGGCCGCAAAGAACTTTTGGCAACCAAAGGTGGGATGGGTAGCGAATTTATCAAACAGGAATATAACATAGGAACTCTTTCTTATTTCACGTGGTGTATAATAAACCAATGTAGTGTAAAATAAATAAACGACACAAATGTATAAACCCACATGTGGTGTAAAATAAATGTAAAAACCCATTAATCTTGCTCACACAATGCATCTCGAGTTCATTTTTCCTCATCTTTTTACAAAGTAATCTCTGAAAACATGATCAGCATGAACATTTGCTTACCGTCCGTTCATTAATAACATAAAAATAAATTAAATTAAAGCAGCTCCAAATCAAAGCAAGTTGAACTTTAATAATACAGTCATGAAACTCAAACATTTCGAATTTACTCTGATTTTTATTTATTTATATCCCAGGAATGTTGAACCGCTAACAGGAATATAATGCAGGTATTTTTGTGCGGTTAAAAAAAGGTGTGGTTATTTTTTATGAAGATGAAGTAAGTAAATGTTAAAACCAAGGAGGCACACAAAAATATAGGATGAGGCATTTCAGAAGCTACAGATATGACTGCACTGAGTTGCTCTGGGGTGAGGTTAGGGGTAGGGCAACTCAAGGGGGAATATTATCCTAACAGGCTGCTCTTCTTTAGACATTTTAGATTTGATGCATGCATGGTTTCTGAAGACCATATACTGATCAACTGTGGAATGTCATATTCAAGCTGTGGTTTAACTACTATTCTGTAAACTACGGACTAAATGGGTTCACAGACACTTGGGGTTTTGAGCTCAAAACACCTTTAAAATCCAAATAAATTGTATATTTGTCAATCCCAGCACATGTACTGAATATATATATCAAAAAAACTTAATATAAGCCGTTTTGAAAAAAATTCATATTTCAACATCTATAATAATACTTATAGATGTTGAAATATGAATTTTTTTCAAAACGGCTTATATTAAGTTTTTTTGATATATATATATATATATATATATATATATATTTAGTACATGTACGTACTGGGATTGACAAATATGCATTTTATTTGGATTTTAAAGGCGTTTTGAGCTCCAAACCCTAAGTTTCTGTGAATGGGTTTAAGTTCCTAAGTATAAACCCTTATGTTTGGTTTTACTCTATGTACAGCATACGTCCTAGAACGTGGATGTTCTGTTGATGTTCGCATCCGAGGTGAGAATGGTATTTTGTTGAGGTTACCGAATCTAGTTTGACATCTTTGGTCAGTAAGTAACAGAAGATTGGTTTTGCTACAGGTAAAATTACTGTATTGTAAAATGGTAAAATTCAATGGGACATTGGGTGACCAGATGAAAATGTAAAGTTTACAACTATGATTGAAGTGACTAAAACTACATCGCATTGTTTTCTTAAGGAAACGAACCTGTTTCGTAAGTCTCTATGATAATTAACACTTTTGAAAAAAATATTTGTCAGTCCTATGATCAGAAGAAAATTTCAGTGAAAAGGTGGGACACTTTGCGAAAAATGTGGTCGGTCAATCGTACAGCCGGGGTCTCCACGATACAGGTCAACATATTATACTTGTACGGTACTTTGGGTTGTTTTTTTTTTCAGATAGACTAAGTCTATTACTCATCTGAATAACAGAAAGAATAAACAACTTCATAAACATCTTATCTTTTTAAAAATACAGTATATAACAATATCATTTTGTTGTGTCAGGCATGCCATTCCCCTAGTAAAATCACATTATTAATCTGCGAGTCTTACAGGGAAAATCAATACAATAGTCTGACCTAAGCAGATAAAGTATCGGTGATAAAATTTATGATAACACCGTAGGCTTCAATTTGGTTTGTTTCGGAAAATAATGAAATAAAAACTATTTACCATCAGCAATGATGGCTGATATATCAGCAAACCAGGTATATATTTGCTTTTTAGTTTGGTCTTGTTACAATGTAATATGCTTTGCACTGAAATGATAAATGGCAAACGACTTAAAACTGTTTTGTTTTGTTACATATTTTCGCGACGGGTGTTGCCCACAGACGCTTGGGGTTTGGAGCTCAAAACGCCTTTAAAATCCAAATAAAATGCATATTTGTCAATCCAAAGACATGTACTGATCATATATATCGAAAAATCTTAATATATGCCGTTTTGAAAAAAAATCATATTTCAACATCTATAATAATACACAAGATAAAAATGTTCGCCGGAAAAAATCCGCACCCCTACCGTCATAATCACCATGTATTTTAATCCATTTCCAATATTTTCACATAATCATTTGGTCCATCGACACAGAAGATATAATTCTTCACGATGATGGTCAATTTTAAACTTCAACGGTAATATAAACAACGCAACAGCCGAAATAAACATCAATATTCTCGCCGTTTTTTTCAACGACAAAAACTTTCGATAAATTCAATGGACCAGACGGCTATAAACGAAGCTATCCGATTATGTGGCCCCAGCTTTGCCGTGTGTATATTAAGATTTTTCGATATATATGATCAGTACATGTCCTGGGATTGACAAATATGCATTTTATTTGGATTTTAAAGGCGTTTTGAGCTCCAAACCCCAAGCGTCTGTGGTGTTGCCTCTGGAAGTTGCTACATCAATTTTATTTTGCGAAGACAAGTAAGGGTAACCTCACAAGAAACTTCATTGACATTTAGGAGGGAATTAAAACCCTGACAATATATGGCTGGTACATTAGTTTCAGAGTTAAATTGATTTAAATTACAAAATAAAGATTTATTTTCTTATTAAAAAGCCTAGAGTCAACATCACAGTGACCGAAGAGGTTCTCTCGAATTTTTTCACGCTCTACTGGAATCAAACAGGGCTTTCGCACTAAAGAAAAAAAAAAAAGAAAAAGTTGGTTGAAATTTAAGGAAAATAACTTGTAGATCTACCTTTTTTTCGGAAACATAATTTAATTATTGGTTTTATTTATTGAAAAAAAGGGACCATCGGTTGTTCTAGCTAAAGCCCTGGAATTTTGAATTACAGTCAACCCGGCCCCAAGTTAACCCGGCCCCAAGTCAACCCGGCCTCAAAATTGGTCAACCCGGCCCCAAAATTGGTCAATCCGGCCCCACAGTATTTTTATTTGGTCAATGCGGCCCCAAAATTGGTCAGTGCGGCCCTAAAATTGGTCATTCCGGCCCCAAAATATGTATTTTTTAAAGAAAACTATTCAGGTCATTTTGTTGTATGATGGAATAAAATTGAATATTATTGACAATAGAACAATAGTAAAAAAAACGCTGGCATAAAAGTGTCGGTAAATTTAATTGCGCCGATTAAGACTTTAACAGGCAATAGTGATAATGAATAATTATATAACATCAACAATTATATGTTACTCAACATTATTTTAGATGTGATAATCAAACAGTTTAAAGCAATCAATTAACAAAAAAGGTATAGCTGTGGAAACAAATCCTTTAAATTCGATGTAAATTTAAGATGGTTTCATAAGTGTTAATGCGATAATTAGGAAGAAATGCATAGAATTTCGAGTTAAAAGGTTTTAACAATCTTTTTTTCAGTTCATTTGAATGTTTTTATTGAATACGTTCATCAGTATAATTAATATTTGTTTCGTATTTTATTAACTTATTTTCAAAGAATATTTACTGTGTAAAAAAGTATTGGAATATTACTAAGTGTTTGAAAAATTGAAAGTGTTTTGTGTTTAATCATTTTATGTCATTATGACTGATAACTGTATTGATTGTGGATATATTGTGCGTGACAGACAGGAGGCAATGACCTGCGATACCTTTGGTAGATGGCAGCATCGCTCTTAATTAATCTTACTTGGAAACACTTTAGTGTGCTTTTGGTCATTTCTTTTTTTAACATACAATAACATAGTAATGATTTGAACACATTAAGGTTTCTTTTCCATGATTTGTCAATAAAAAAGTTTAGTTTTTTCTTAATACTTCTATCGTAAAGAGGTTAAGGTTGAAGACAGACGTCACCTTATTTTCGCGACGGTAAAAACAGTAAACTATGCATCTGTTGCTTGTTTGTTAATATTGATAGTTTTTATATAAAATAAATAATAATAAAAGATATCATCGTTAAAATTTTGTTGTTGTTTTTGTTGTTAATTTATTTATTTCTTGATAAGTGTTTATATTTTAAAGCAAAAAAAAATAAATAAAAAAATGGGGCGGGTTGACCAGAAATAACATTGGTTTGGGGCCGGGTTGACCAATTTGGGGCCGGGCTGACTTGAGGCCGGGTTGACTTGGGGCTGGGTTGACTTGTACCGATTATTTTGCATTTAGCGACATTATGAAACCGGAAAATGTTTTTCAAGTCGGTACTTTAACCCGCTTAACATGTGCTTAAACCATTTAAATTGATTAAAACTATTTCTGTGTTCTTGAAATTGGCGTAAATCATGATTAACTGGAGGGTAAACAATGTATTTCACAGACAAAGTCCCAATATTTTGTGAAATTTCTTTTGAAATTGTGAATTTTTTTCCGCCACTTTGTGAAAAAAAAGTGCAATTTTGAATTGTGAAGGGGCCTTATATCGGCCCCTGTTACAGAAGGAAAAAAAGCCCTGGAAATCCCTTACACAAGTGACATGTATGGTCTATGTGAGTATCATGTCTGGCCCATTAAATGCGCTTTAACTCTAATATATTGTTTTTTTTCCTAACATGTGCCATTTAGTAGACTATACTAAAAAGGTGTTAAATACCAGTAACTTGTCTGGTATGTTCATTGTTTTACTTCTTGTTTCAAAGTGTTATGTAGCACAAACTAAGAGGAGCACATTATACAAGTAGAGGGTGTTGATCTTATTTTTCAGCCAAGAATGATGAACCCTAATCAACCACCAACCTCAGGAGCATCGGCTTCAGCCCCAGCCATGCAGGGGGCATCAATGACACAGGGAGAAAGGGAGAAAGTTTATCAGTGGATTAGTGAATTGACAAGCCCAGACACTAGAGAGAATGCTCTTCAAGAATTAAGGTACACTTTGTCAGTAAAGAAATGTGGATTAAACCCACATTGTGGGAAATATTTTATTTGCTTAGATATGGAAAGATTTTGTTTTTGTCTATGATATAAATGATATAATATTATGTAGGACAGTTCATGAATTGAATACATGTGCATTCCAGTATATTTTATCACAGGGATAAAGATTTGGTGTTGTTATTCCGGCTGTTCATCTATCTTTTGATCAGAACTTACTTTAGATATTTATTACTTATTTGGCTACTTTTTTACCAAATTCGATGATAGTTCAAAATGATTTTATTTTCATCTATTAACAAACCTGTTAGTTTTACAAAAAAACATGTCAAAATCTTTATTGAAAACACTTACTATAAAAAAATTGAATTATACAACATGATATGCTATTTTTTTCGACAAACAAAACAATCGAAGAATATGCAAACTTTTATAAAGTAAAACTGAAACTTTTTATTGACCTGGATTAAAAGACCCCCTGTCATATGTGACCTATTTTGGATAGTTCCATGGAAAGTCACAAATGACAAGTTTGACTGAGGTTATACTAATTACTTGTGATTTCTCACAGATAGCTTGGTAGTCTTTTTCTTCTCCTTTCATCTTTAAAATTGATCTAAGGCTAGCATAACATTGAGTCAAATGAAAGGAAAAGGAGTATCATAGTTACATTTATTTGACATTTTGTATATTGCAGTAAGAAAAGAGAAGTGGTCCCAGATTTGGCTCCCATGTTATGGCACAGTTTCGGGACAGTGGCAGCATTGCTTCAAGAGATAGTACATGTATATCCAGCAATTAACCCACCTCATTTAACAGTAAGTTATGTGATGATACGTATATTTTGTCAATGCATAAGGGACATAAATCTGCTCTCTGTTGGATGTTTAACTTTTTGTTTTGTACTGTGAGGTTTTGTTCTTCATTGAATTTTTACCTTTAAATTTCAAATTTTACATTGATAATAAAGTTTTGGCAACTCTAGCGTAAGCATATTCAATGAAAAGAGTCTGTAATTTTCACATACTTATTCATTTAAAAAATAATATATCCCAAACAGTGATTAACATCATTGTTTGGAGTCCGGATGCGAGGAATTACATCACGAGGGCGTAGCCCGAGTGATATAATGATGCCCATCTGAACTCCAAACAGTGATGTTATCAAGCGATAAAATCACCTATTTGGATATATTATTTCGATTCTAACATGACATCAACAAATGAATGCTGCCGTACCTGATATTAAGCTTAATTGCGCCTGACTTGTTTCCTAACTTATTTTCAGCAATTTGCATTTTTGGTGGTTACGTCACGTGTATAATGATTACGTCACATGTCTGAATATAGAACACAAACTGTGATTTTATTGCATAATAACATACACTTTTAATTCTTCTTTATTCAATAGGGAAAAATGTGGGTTGTGTTAGAATTGTTTGCAAAAACACATTGATCTCTTGTACCTAGCCTTTTCCACAAAATTTTCCACCAGTTGACTTGTAAAGGTGCTATTCTTAACAAACTATTTCATTGATTAAGAGTTATATTGTGCCTTAATACATAAATGAAGAAGTAAAGAAAAGAATAATTATGAAGTGTGGAACTATTATTTTTCAGGCGCATCAATCAAACCGTGTGTGTAACGCATTGGCGTTACTTCAGTGTGTAGCCTCACATCCAGAAACCAGGTCAGCTTTCTTACAGGGTATGTATATTGTTGGTCAATAACATAACCAGTATATTAAAAATACACATGATGTGTAAAACACAGAAATCTGTTTGTAGTAAATAGAGAATATTGAACAAGCATAGTGCTCTTCTGATGGGTTGTGTGGTTCAAGTTGATAGTGTAAAGTTTGACTCTTGGGAGCCCACAGAGAAAACATGAATAAAAACCTTGCCCGGTCAATAAGACTACAGTTTCATCAGAATATTGCACTATTTTATTATACAATTTACCATATTTAAACTTTGTCAAAATGATTGTTATAATTAAATCCCAGGTATGGACATATTTCTATCTTATTTTAAAAGTACAATGTAATGGTAAGTAGTAACTTACCTAAACATGACTTCCAAATTTTAGCTTGTCTATTTTAGTATGAGAAAAATTGTTTGAAGGTTTTTTTATGAAACACTTTGAAATTAAAATTATGTTTTCAAAACTGTTTAGGAGAGAGGCAAAGTTCAATCATTTTAAAGCTAATATGTTCTTGGTTTTTTAGAAGGGAGGCTTTGGGTGGGGTGTGTAGAAATGCAGTTATGCTGCTTCTATTCATTTATCTATTGACACATATATATATGTATTGATTTTGTGAATAAATTTGCATCCAGTTTGTGTCACTCACCCATGTTGATCTACACTGTCATATTTTGTATTATTTCAGCAAACATTCCACTATTTTTGTACCCATTCCTACACACTGTTAGCAAGACGAGACCATTTGAGTATTTAAGATTAACAAGCCTAGGAGTTATAGGTGCACTAGTCAAGGTAATGCTTTTATATATGTTTTTGTAAAATATAATTATTAACTGGTATAAAGGGATATTTGGCAGGCTGTCTTTTATAAATTTGAAGAAAAAAAATTGTAGATTAAGTTGAAAGGATAATTTTGGTAAATTCTTGATAAAGCGAATGATACAAGCATGTTTATTGTCCCCTTTCTTTTCGAAGAAAAAAAAGGGGGATATAGAAAAAGGCTCCGTCTGTCTATCATAATTTCATGTCCTGTCCATTACTAAGATAATCATCAATGGAATTTGAAATAGCTTGCCACAGATTTTTATTATAATAAGACGATATGTCATGTGCAACATTCTTACTCCTTCCTTCAAGATCAAGGTCACACTTGGTGATTAAAGGTCAACATTGACAGCTGAAGTGTATATGTTGTGTCAGGTCCATAACTTTCTCATCCATAAAGAAAACTTGAAAATACTGGGCACAATGTGTCATGTGCAAAACCAAGTCGCCTACCTCCAAGGTCAAGGTCACACTTGAACTTCAAAGCTTAACACATTCTGTAATATGGTATATTTTGTATCCAGTTCATAACTTTAATCAGTCAAGGGCTTTTGAAATTACTTGGCACACATGTTCACAATAAAAAGACGTGTCATGAGCAACACCTGCAATAATTCTTTAATAGTTATGTTTGACACTAAAATTACTATAAACATTATTATGTATTATATGACAGACCTTTCTTTATAGACCAATTCACTTTAACCTTCACATTTATATGATAATGGAAGCTACCTGCCTGATAGATGATATTACAAAGCACCTGAACTACAATATGTGTTTCATAAACATCAAACTCAAAATAGGAACCTTTTTTTTTGTCTTCACAACCTTAGAGCTTTTGTTGAAAAGTGTTAAGAAAAGAAACAAAATGTGATTATGATGAACTGTTCTCAGTGAGAAAGTAATAAGCACTGTGAACAGCATTTTGTTTTGTTTTTTGTTGTTTTTTTTGACGTCTTGCATAACCTTATACCAATATGTCATGATTGTTCATAATGACTTACGTCAAATTGATTAACACCCAATATATTAAATGTGCGTAATAATTTGGTATTATACACTAAATGACGTCAAGAATCCCCAGATTTAGGTATCTTTTTTAGCAACATTATTTTTGTAAATGGTTAGAAATATGATGCATCAAAGACAGGAAAATGAGTGCATTTAAATGACATTATGTATATGGTCAGTGAACAGGTAAAAATAAAATCAACTTGACGTTTTGCCATAATTTTGTTCAATTTTAAATTTTACAATGAAAAATATAACCAACAGACAACATGACCAATGGAAATTTATATAAATTTATTTTATGCTTTTCAGTGGATTACTGATTTATCCGTGAAAATTATATTTGATAATTTCACAGTGAAAATTATCAAAATATAATTTCACTTTTTTCAATGACGAAACTACTTTTTTAAGATTTTCCCCATGTGGTACCTCAATTTTATTTTTACCGACAATTCTGACAATGTCAGGCTGTTAAAAGAAATAGCAAAGCTGAAATAGATAAATAACTTAAATGTTAAAAGTAACACAGAGAGAAAACTTACTTCTATTCCTTCAAATTCCAATCACCAAATTTTGTCTCTAAATTTTTTTTGTTTCGTTTTTACAGTCTGAAAAATACATTCCTTCCCCATGCAAAACCATGCTCTTGATGACATTTGGGCATATTAAAGTATCCTACGAGCAATAACTGCCGTATGCTTTATGAAAAATTGAAAAGCATTGACAGCCATCACTCGTAAAATAAGTTAAAACAACCCAGCGTTCCTTCAGCAAGCTTCCAATTTTTCCATTTTCCTAGCTCCTTTTCTGAATGTTTTCACTTCTGTCAACACTTATTTTTTGTCTGTTACAATCCTCAAATAAGTTTTCTTTCTTTTAAAAAGGTGTATGACTAACAAATCCAAATTATATCCTTCTGAATCTTACACAATTATTTTCCTCCCATGAAATACACAACTTTAAAAAATGGCTGCCGTTTACATTTTAGAAAGCCAGGTCTAATATAAATTCGCAGTAAGTAACAGAAATATGGATGGATGGTTGGAATTTTCTCCTGCAAGAATTGTTTGTTTTTATGATTAAAACAAGCGATCATTCATATTTTTTTAATAAAATGAATAAATATCACCGTCATTTAACCTTGATTGGCGGACTTATTTTTCAGCTCAAGACTTCTTGTTTTAAATGAGAAATTCCGTCTAAATGGGGCTCTCATTGGGGGAAACAGATTTTAATATTAACGTTAAAATTATGGAAATTTCGTTTTAACTTGTTTTAAGCATAAAATAAAAAGAAAATTTGTCTGTTTGTTGTGTAAGATGTAATTTTATTTCATCTCGTGAACTTTAAAAACAGTATTCTCACTCGTGGCTACGCCACTCGTGAGAATACTGTTTTTAAAGCTCACTCGATGAAATAAAATTTCATCTTACACACAAACAAACAAATATCCTCTATATTGTTTAGAATGTATCGGTAATGTTCAGTTCTTTCTAAAACATGGGACAGTCTTTTTTATAGTTTAGATACTTTCTATATTGTATCATAAACAATTTTCATTATCAATTGTAGGTTAATCACCATAATAATTGCCAATCTTCTGAAATAAATTACTTAGAGTATTTCAATTCAATTTGGCAGTTTAAAAAAAATAATGTCACTTTTACCATTGAAATGGAAATAAACTCTCAGTTTGTTTCTAAAATATTTCAACCTCCTGATTTGAATATAGATATTTTAACACATTTGCTCATACAGCCTTTCTTTATTGACTGATGTTTACACTCTTATTTAACACAAAATAACTTTTTTTAAGTTTGCCTAATGTAACTGTAAAATATGACTGCTAGAACTATAATTGCCTTTATTTCATGCTATAATTGTCTTTATTACATGTTATAATTGTCTTTATTACAGACTGATGAACAGGAAGTGATCAATTTCCTACTTACCACAGAGATTATACCACTTTGTCTCAGAATAATGGAATCTGGAAGTGAACTCTCTAAAACTGTAAGTCTAAATAAAGTTGAACTCTTAAAAATAATAGTAACTTAGGACTACAACTGTAAGTATAATTGGAAATAAACTCTGTGAAAGTTTAAGTATACTTAATTTGGAGGTGAACTCTGTATAAGTGAAAATATTATATTATTTGGAAGTGAACTCTTTATAATTGTAAGTATATTTGAAAGTGAAGTCTCTGAAATTGTAATGTAAAAGTGAACTCTTTGTAAGTGTAAGTATATTTGGAAAGGTGTAAGTATATTTTAAAAACTAAGAATATTGATTAAACAAGATTGCTGGCTTCAAACCACTTGCCCCCTACTGCTGTGGTTTCAAATCCCATACTAGGGACCTTAGATTCTTTCATGTGGGGAAGCTAACCAGCTTTTTGAAAATAAACAAAAGATAAAATGAATATTCTTCCAACTTAAAGTCAAAGTTACTATTGCTTAAATAAATTTCATACTCTAGTCTTGATAATGGGTATACATGTCTAGTTTGTAAATAGATGATATTGTCTGTGGGATGGTGTAACTTAGTATGTTTTAGTCAGTGAAAGGCTAATAAAATAATTGTAAGGAATGGCTGCTTATTTAAAGCTAGCTAAATGAAACAAATATACTCTGTCAATACTAAATTGTCATTGATTGTCTTATCACTTCTTTTGTAATCATGATGTCATTTGAAAGGTTATTTGTGTGTGGTACTTCTTCCCTTTGACAGAAATTTTCTTTAGTTACCTTTCTTAGTTTCGAAGTTGATTAATAGTTTATTAACAACAGCAAATTTTCATATCTTTAAGTTCAGTTATTAGCTTAACTATTCAAAGAATACGGAGAGCTCTTGTACTCACTCACCCGGGTGTTGCGTCACATTTTGGTTAGGTATTTGCATACAAGTCGGTATTTCCAAAATTACTGAAGGCAATACCAGGAATAGGTTGAAACTTCACAAACTTATTTGAGAGCATAGTATGTGGTCACTTTCTAAGGCCCATAACTCTAACATGGATTTTGACAAAATTATAGCCCTTTAAAGGGATACTCTGGCAAAATAATGGCAAAAATATAAAAATGATTTTCTGTACTCAAATCACCCTAAAATGACATTTCTTAAAGTCTCAACATGAATTTCTGTATAAATTCTATATATTTTGGGTTTGAAGTTTAAATATATCTATATATGTTGAACGAAATTTTGACGCGAACAGAATCACCGAATAGTTTAAAAACAAGTCATGAGATTTGAACAAACCCTGGAAGTTACAATAACAAATATTGTGGATATTGTATGATTGAAACAAGTCTAAGTAATTGATTTGACATGTATTTTAACGTTTTCAGAGTACAGAGTGACAACTATTGTGAAATTTTAGCGCTCTAACCTGACCCACGGGGGTCAAGTTAGGAAAACACCATTTTATTCTTTATATGGAGAAAAGTTTTGTTCCTTTGACTGTTTAGTGTATTCATTTTGAGGACATTTACAGAATAATGAATGAAAATTTCAAAACTAAGAAATGAAAATTTTGCCTGTGTCTCCCTTTAAGAACTTATACAATTCAACATTGTGATACAGGCTCTTGTTTTACTATCAAGTCCTGAGAATAGTTGATAGTCCTACCCACAGCTGTTGTTGTTTCAGTCTTAATAAAAAAATATCCACATTATTGTATACCACTAAATCATGCTTTGTCAGGTACATACACTTTAGTTCAAAGTAGCCCGTTATTTTTTACTTCTAGAGGATCGTTTGTATTTTTTCAACGGTTGAATGATTATATTTTACAGGTTGCCACATTTATTCTACAGAAGATATTATTGGACGAGACTGGATTGTCATACATTTGTCAAACTTATGAACGATTTTCTCATGTTGCCATGATTTTGGTAAGTTAATTATCGTAATCCTGGACCTTTGTATCTGGAACATTTGAAATTTAAGGGATTGTTTCTATATCAGTTGAGCTACCAACAGTGTAGCGCCCTGGGTTGACTGCACAGGTGTGCCGGCTGGCCAGGCTTCATACTGGTGGCAAAGGTAAATCTGTTTTTGTTCAAGCAAATTGAGGTTGGCAAGCCAAAACATTTGATCCTATAATTGTTAATTCCACATTTGCTTTAATAAGTATGCAAAATTTGAAATGTGCAGAATTGTAAAGGCATAGTTGTTAAGTTGTTTCTTTAATGTTGTATTCAAACTGAAACTTTAATGCCATTCCATCAAAAAAGGGTATGTAGGTCCATGTAAAAGAATATGTATGTGCTAAACATAAAGACATTGAGACATAAAGACATTGAGTGGAAAATTTCATTTTGAGTCTATAAAACCAGTTGTTTACTACAAAGATAGTGAAGATGTGTTATTGATTTTCTCCCTACCAAGTATTTTTAGCTCACCTGTCACAAAGTGACAGGGTGAGCTTTTGTGATCGCTTTTCGTCCGGCGTCCGTCCGTCCGGCGTCCGGCCATCCGTCCGTAAACTTTTACTTTAAATGACATCTCCTCATAAACCACTAAGCCAATTTCATCCAAACTTCACAGGAATGTTCCTTTGGTGGTCACCTTTAAAAGTTGTTCAAAGAATTTAATTCCATGCAAAACTCTGTTTGCCATGGCAACTGAAAGAAAAAACTTTAAATATCTTCTTTTAAAAAACCATAAGAGCTAGAGCTTAGATATTTGGCATGAAACATCTTCTAGTGAGTGTCTACCAAGTTTGTTCAAATAAAAGCCCTGGGGTTAAAATTGGCCCCGCCCCGGGGGGTCATTGATTTTCCCTATATGCATATAGTAAAAACTTAAAAAATCTTCTTTTAAAGAACCCAAAGAGCTAGAGCTAAGATATTTAGCATGAAACATGTTCTAATGGGTGTCTACCAAGTTTGTTCAAATAAAAGCCCTGGGGTGAAAATTGGCCCCCCCTCCCGGGGGTCATTGATTTTCCCTATATGCATATAGTAAAAACTTAAAAAATCTTCTTTTAAAGAACTCAAAGAGCTAGAGCTTAGATATTTGGCATGAAACATCTTCTAGTGAGTGTCTACCAAGTTTGTTCAAATAAAAGCCCTGGGGTCAAAATTGGCCCCGCCCCTGGGGGTCATTGATTTTCCCTATATGCATATAGTAAAAACTTAAAAAATCTTCTTTTAAAGAACCCAAAGAGCTAGAGCTAAGATATTTAGCATGAAACATGTTCTAATGGGTGTCTACCAAGTTTGTTCAAATAAAAGCCCTGGGGTGAAAATTGGCCCCGCCCCGGGGGTCATTGATTTTCCCTATATGCATATAGTAAAAACTTAAAAAAATCTTCTTTTAAAGAACCCAAAGAGCTAGAGCTAAGATATTTAGCATGAAACATGTTCTAATGGGTGTCTACCAAGTTTGTTCAAATAAAAGCCCTGGGTGAAAATTGGCCCCGCCCCGGGGGGTCATTGATTTTCCCTATATGCATATAGTAAAAACTTAAAAAATCTTCTTTTAAAGAACTCAAAGAGCTATGGCTAAGATATTGAGTATCAAACATGTTCTAATAGGTGTCTACCAAGTTTGTTCAAATACAAGCCCAGGGGTCAAAATTGGCCCCGCCCCGGGGGTCATTGATTTTCTTTATATGTGTTTAGCAAAAACTTTAAATCTTCTTTGAAAAAACCCAAATAGCTAGAGTTTAGATATTAAGCATGAAACATCTTCTATTAAGTGTCTACAAAGTTTGTTCAAATAAAAGCCCTGGGGTCAAAACTGGCCCGGCCCCAGGGGTGTCATTGTTTTTAGCTCACCTTGCACAAAGTGCAGGTGAGCTTTTAGGATGGCCAACCAAATGGCGTCCGTCGTCTGTCGTCCGTCCACATTTTAAATATTCTAAGGACATCTTCTATGATACCGCAAGGCCAATGTTAATGAAACTTGGCAGGAATACTCTTTGTATGAAGCTCTATCAAGATTGTTCAAAGAATTCCATTTTATGCAGAACTCTGGTTGCCATGGCAACCGAAAGAAAAATCTTTAAATATCTTCTTTTAAAGAACCGTAAGAGCTAGAGCTTAGATATTTGGCATGAAACATCTTCTAATGAGTGTCTCCAAAGTTTGTTCAAATAAAAGCCCTAGGGTCAAAATTGGCCTGGCCCCAGGGGGTCATTGATTTTCCCTATATGCATATAGTAAAAACTTAAAAAATCTTCTTTTAAAGAACCCAAAGAGCTAGAGCTAAGATATTTGGCATGAAACATGTTCTAATGGGTGTCTACCAAGTATGTTCAAATAAAAGCCCTGGGGTCAAAACTGGCCCGCCCCGGGGGTCATTGATATATTCTTATATGTGTATAGCAAAAACTTAAAAATCTTCTTTGAAAAAACCCAAATAGCTTGAGTTTAGATATTATACATGAAACATTTTTAAGTAAAAATCTACAAACTTTGTTCAAATAAAAGCCCGGGGGTCAAAACACGCCCTGCCCCAGGGGTGTCATTGTTTTTAACTATATGTGTATAGTAAAAACTTAAAAAATCTTCTTTTAAAAAACCCAATGAGCTAGAACTTAGATGTTTAGCATGAAACATCTTCTTATAGGTGTCTACCAAGTCTGTGCAAATAAAAGCCCTTGGGTTAAATTGGCTCTGCAACGTTGGGGGGGGGGGGTGGGGGTTGGGGGGCCTATATACAGGTGAGCGACCTCAGGGCCATCATGGCCCTCTTGTTCTTGAATGTTAGAAGGTGTGGCTTTGTCATGATGTTTTGTAATATTGTGCTGAAGATTTTCAGACCACCTGCTTGGCTTTATAGGAAGAGCATTGGATTTGTAATCAAGGGGTTGCTGATTCAATCCTCAGGCGAGGCGGAATTTATCTTTGACAATTATTGATTTCTGACATTAAGTCCCTATGAAATAGAGAAAATAAGAATCCCTAAAGTATGTTCAAAATGGTAAAATTGAAAATGTTGCAGCCTCGGTTTGTTTGAGCCTGTTCATGGATGGTACTGTCAAGTACAAACTACCGTCCATGCCCTCTAGTGCCGGCTTAAGCAGAATTCAACATTTAAACATGAAATGGTAAAATTTGGAATGAAGAAACATCTGCAGACGTGTTCATACGACGGTTATCATTGAACCTTCAATTTGACACTTCCGTGCCATTTCATGAAAAGCGGGTTATGGTCCCCAAGTAATAGAAAGAACATTGTCTTTCACTGCTGATTAAGAAATCTTGTGGATTAGTAGTTGGTTTCTTATGGAGAAATTGTTGGTTACTGGTTAGTTACCTTTGTCGGTTGGTAAGGTGTATCTTAGAGATATGACCAAACATGTTAAAATTACCATAAAAAGAAACAGACAAACAAACATACTCCCATTTTTTGTCCCCTAACATGCTGAGAACTCAAATTGCAAAATCACTGGTACCAGCATAAAGCTAGGCTGTTAGACCATAAATCATTAAATTGTCTGACAAATGCAATCTGACAATGCTCTTTTTTCTTGACTGACAAATTTTGAATTTTTTGTTTTGAAATTACTGCACAATTGAAAGTTTTATGTTAAGAAATGGATAATTGATACATCCATTCTTGAAATTTAGTAGAGTAAGGGTTAGACTGGTCTTCTTGAAAGTGTTTACAGTCAAACCTGTGAACAAAGGCCACCCAAAGGAAAGACAAATTATGGCCTTTGTAGACAGGTGGACTTTATTTTGAGGTTGTTCTGTTCAGTTAATCCATGAAGTGTTGCAGAACAGTAGGGTTTTTTTAGCTCACCTGACCACGAAGTGGTCAAGGTGAGGTATAGTGATGGGGCTATGTCCAGCGTCCGTCGTCGTGCGTCGTTCGTCGTCAACAATTGGGTTGTTAACAGTCTAGCAGTCACAGTTTTGATTGGATCATTGTCAAACTTTATCAGAATGTTTGTCTCAATGAATTACAGATCGAGTTCGAAGATGGGTCATCTCCGGTCAAAAACTAGGTCACAGGATCTAAAAATAGAAAAAGCTTGTTAACACTCTAGTGGCTGCAGTTTTGATCCAAATATTCTAGAAATTTGTCAGGAAGGTTATTTTAATGATTTCTAGGTCAAGTTCCAAGATGGGTCATCTCCAGTCAAAAACTAGGTCACAGGAGCTAAAAATAGAAAAAGCTTGTTAACACTCTACTGGCTGCAGTTTTGATCCAAATATTCTGGAAATTTGTCAGGAAGGTTGTTTTAATGATTTCTAGGTCAAGTTCAACGATGGGTCATCTCAGGTCAAAAACTAGGTCACAGGAGCTAAAAATAGAAAAAGCCTGTTAACACTCTAGTGGCTGCAGTTTTGATCCAAATATTCTGAAAAAATTTGTCAGGAAGGTTGTTTTGATGATTTCTAGGTCAAGTTCAAAGATGGGTTATCTGCGGTCAAAAACTAGGTCACAGGAGCTAAAAATAGAAAAAGCTTGTTAACACTCTACTGGCTGCAGTTTTGATCCAAATATTCTGGAAATTTGTCAGGAAGGTTGTTTTGATGATTTCTAGGTCAAGTTCGAAGATGGGTCATCTCCCCTCAAAAACTAGGTCACAGGAGCTAAAAATAGATAAAGCTTGTTAACACTCTACTGGCTGCAGTTTTGATTCAAATATTCTGGAAATTTGTCAGGAAGGTTGTTTTGCTGAATTCTAGGTCAAGTTTGAAGATGGGTCATATCCGGTCAAAAACTAGGTCACAGGAGCTAAAAATAGAAAAAGCTTGTTAACACTCTAGTGGCTGCAGTTTTGATTCAAATATTCTGGAAATTTGTCAGGAAGGTTGTTTTGATGATTTCTAGGTCAAGTTCGAAGATGGATCATCTCCGGTTAAAAACTAGGTCACAGGAGCTAAAAATAGAAAAAGCTTGTTAACACTCTAGTGGCTGCAGTTTTGATCCAAATATTCTGGAAATTTGTCAGGAAGGTTGTTTTGATGATTTCTAGGTCAAGTTCGAAGATGGGTCATCTCCGGTCAAAAACTAGGTCACAGGAGCTAAAAATAGAAAAAGCTTGTTAACACTCTAGTGGCTGCAGTTTTGATCCAAATATTCTAGAAATTTGCCAGGAAGGTTGTTTTGATGATTTCTAGGTCAAGTTCAAATATGGATTGCCTCCGGTCAAAATCTATGTCGCAGGGGGTAAAAATAGAAAAATCTTGTTAACACTCTAGTGGCTGCAGTTTTGATCGAAATATCCTGGAAATTGAAAAGGAGGGTAGTTTTGATGATTTCTAGGTCAAGTTCGAAGATGGGTCATCTCAGGTCAAAAACTAGGTCACAGGAGCTAAAAATAGAAAAAACTTGTTAACACTCTACTGGCTGCAGTTTTGATCCAAATATTCTGGAAATTTGTCAGGAAGGTTTTTTTGATGATTTCTAGGTCAAGTTCTAAGGTGGGTCATCTCCGGTCAAAAACTAGGTCACAGAAGCTAAAAATAGAAAAATCTTTATAACACTGTAGTGGCTTTTGATCCAAATATTCAGGAAATTTGTCAAAAAGGTTGTTTTGATGAATTCTAGGTCAAGTTCGAATATGGGTTGTCTCCAGTCAAAAATTAGGTCGCATTGCCCAAATATGGAAAACCTTTTTAACACACTAGAGGTCACATTTTTGACTCAATTGTCATCAAACTTGGCCAGCTTGGATGCGGTTGATGGGTCAGGGGAGCGATCCAGGCCATCATGGCCCTCTTGTTTTTTACAGGATCATATTCACAGAAGGTCTTAAACACAGGTTTAACTGTAACAGTAGAATACCCATATGAGCAATTCAAAGCCAATTAGACTTGAATTATTAACATATATCCATGCCAATGCAACATATACCAACTCTTGTGTGACTGCTAGCTTAATTTCTTGAATGGATTTTATCTGCTTCGAATTTGGAACATTTTGTTTAACATTGAGGGGAGGGGTTTATTTTCAGGAACAAAATATGAAAATTGAGCTAGTATAATAGCCTGAATAGACTGCACATATGTCAAAGGGTTGACCGCAAAACTGCAGTTACTTATATGAAATAAAGAAGGACTTTCAACAGTCTTGCGATCAACACTCAATGTATAGACTAGTCTGAAAACTATACTGGTGTCAAAGGCTACCCATTTTCGACTCCAGCATGTAAAGGGTTAAGTTGAGAATCTTTATGTTTTGTGATTATTCAGGCTGAAATTTTATATACATGTATATATTTCTTTGACAGGGTAAAATGGTGCTACATTTATCAAGGGAGCCGTCAGCTAGACTGCTGAAACATGTTGTCAGATGTTACCTAAGGTTATCAGATAATCCAAGGTTTGTTGTTTTCTTATTTTAGTAGAAATATCTGGCGCTCATATTATTTTTGTAGAAGTTTAAGGTTTAAAAATACAATGTAGTTGAGATATTGTTGTAATTGCTCAATATCTGACATGTTTGTACCCCCACAGTTTATTTTGTCAAAAGTTAACATAAAAACAAGGATGGAATTCAAATAATTATAGCCTCTCATGTGCTAAAACAATTATTTTCAAATATGACGTTTCCATTATTATGAAATAGCCTTTCCTTAAAAGTCTTTTTTTCACAATTTTTTATATTAATTTCACAATAAGAGTATATAGCTAGAGAGTTTTTGTTATGTAAAAACTTGGCTATTTCTTTGGAGACTGAAATAATGCACTGAGGTACATCTCACGTCTTTATTAAACCTGGAAAGTTGATAAGTTAACTTTTCAGCATGAATATAATTTCAAACTTAATAACAAAAGTAAAAGATGTTCAATCTCTTTTTCATTCATTATAAATGAAAATTCTCAAAGAAAATGTGTAGACGTTGGTTAAGAAAGTATTCTTTGTAATATGTATGAATACAGTTTTCCATTCAATGGGAAATGATGGCCACAGTCTAGAAAAGCTTCTGTTATTTTTCAATCAAAGATGATTTTCAAGCCTATCTGTTAAGTCATCATTCAATGTTAACATATCTCCTTTAATTTATTTAACTCAACTAGAGGCGTGCCACTTTAATGTAATTTAGGCCAGTTTTATAGTTGATGTTGTTCATTAAAGTGATTCTATTTAGTAGAATACAAGTTTGTTATTTATAGGGCAAGGGAAGCACTGCGACAATGTTTACCAGACCAATTGAAGGACAGCACATTTGCTAATTGTTTGAAAGACGATAATTCTACAAAACGCTGGTTGATGCAGTTACAACAAAATCTAGAGACGCCCGGTGTTCCAGACCCACGTAATCCTGGCATGCCACTCCACCAGCAATAAATGGGGCAAAAATATTTGTGAAAAAAGACTTGGTTAACACTTGAAAATACAAATGTGACAATGTAAATTAAAATTATAAGTTATAGATCTAGTATGTTTTTTAAAATTGACAAGATATATATAAGCAATACTTTTTAAAGTAAGGATAATATTTGTTTTGTAAAAGAGACATAGCTAGATGAAAAACTTCAATACTGTGGCATAATGCTACTAGATATAGTGTAATGTGTGGCAGTAAAAGTGTGATATTGTAAAAGTGATATGTGAACAAAGGATATGTGAATAAAAGATGGATGATGGGTTGATGTGAAAGATGTGACATTCACATTTAAAAGGTGACATTGACTTACTAATTTTAACATTTAGATAACAATTGTGACATTAGTATGATACAAAATCTTTATAATGTATATGTAACATAATGTATTGCCATGGGATATCAAATTTTCCCTTATTCCTTATTTGATGTCAAACATTGAGTCTAATGGTCATTTGTCTCTTACCGCTGATTTAGAAATCAAGAGGGATAAATAGCCTGTCTCTTGGTGAGATGTTTGTGATTACACGTTTGTTATCCAGGAAAGCAAGCTAGGTGGATTGTCTTCTAAGATATGACCAAAATTGTGTTAAAATCAGTGTCAAAAAACAGAATAATAAACAGTGTAAATCTTTGAACAAATTTACAAAATACTAAATATAACTGTTAAAATATGTTCAGAATTGTATGTAGGTTTGACAAGTAAAAAAGAATTTTACAAATATAATGTCTTAATATGATCCTGATGTTTGAAAGTGTGTATATTAAAAGAAGTATGAGCCGTGTCATGACAAAACCAACATAGTGCGTTTGCGACCAGCATGGATCAAGACCAGCCTGCGTAACCGCGCAGTCTGATCAGGATGAATGCTGTTTGCTATCAGTTTCTCTACTTGCTAGAGGGTGTATAAGCAAACAGCATGCGCGATGCACAGGCTGGTCTGGATCCATGCTGGTCGCACACACAATGTTGGTTTTGTTGTGACGCGGCTAGTATGTATTTGTTACTTGTGCTAGTAGTATTGTGTTCATTGTAAAAAAAGAAGGCCTAAGCCACTAGAATGAATTTATGAAACAAAACTTGCTTGCATTTATGTGAATTTTGACATGATTGGGCTATTGTTTGCTGCACATTTTGTCATGAAAACCCAGAAATTAGCAATGGATTGTTCCAATGTATGATGCAGGACTAGTCGATGAAAGCTTATCATTTAAGAAAAATTTGTTACAAAATATCTAAAATTATGTCTCAATTTTTTATATCAAAATAAAGTTGTGACTGCAACTACATTGTGTTGATTTTTAGCTCACCTGTCATAAAGTGACAGGGTTAGCTTTTGTGATAACTTTTCGTCCGTCCGTAAACTTTTTCTTTAAATGACATCTCCTCATAAACCACTAGACCAATTTCATCCAAACTTCACAGGAATGTATCTTTGGTGGTCACCTTTAAAAATTGTTCAAAGAATTTAATTCCATGCAGAACTCTGGTTGCCATGGCAACCGAAAGTTTAAACTTAAAATATCTTTTCTTTTAAAAAACCCTAAGAGCTAAAGCTTAGATATTTGGCATGAAACATCTTCTTGTGAGTGTCTACCAAGTTTCTTCAAATAAAATTCCAGGGGTCAAAATTGGCCCCGCCCCAGGGGATCATTGATTTTCCCTAAATGCATAAAGTAAAATCTTAAAAAATCTTCTTTTAAAGAACCAAAAGAGCTAGAGCTGAGATATTTAGCATGAAACATGTTCTAATGAGTGTCTACCAAGTTTGTTCAAATAAAAGCCCTGGGGTCAAAATTGGCCCAACCCCAGGGGGGTCATTGATTTTCCCTATATGCATAAAGTAAACTTAAAAAATCTTCTTTTAAAGAACTCAAAGAGGTAGAGCTAAGATATTTAGCATCAAACGTGTTCTAAAAGGTGTCTACTAAGTTTGTTCAAATAAAAGCCCTGGGGTCAAAATTGGCCCGCCCCGGGGGTCATTGATTTTCCTTATATGTGTATAGCAAAAACTTAAAAATCTTCTTTGAAAAAACCCAAATAGCTAGTGTTTAGATATTAAGCATGAAGAATCTTCTAGTGAGTGTCTACAAAGTTTGTTCAAATAAAAGCCCTGGGGTCAAAATTGGCCCCGCCCTGGGTGTCATTGATTTTCCTTATATGTGTATAGCAAACATTTAAAATCTTTTTTGAAAAAACCCAAATAGCTAGAGTTTAGATATTAAGCATGAAACATCTTCTAGTAAGTGTCTACAAAGTTTGTTCAAATAATGGTCCTGGGGTCAAAATTGGCCCCACCCAAGGGGTGTCATTGTTTTTAACTATATGTGTATAGTAAAAACTTTAAAAAAATTCTTTTAAAAAGCCCCATGAGCTAGAGCTTAGATGTTTAGCATGAAACATCTTCTTATAAGTGTCTTCCAAATTTGTTCACATAAAAGCCCTGGGGTCAAAATTGGCCCCTCCCCAGGGGGGGTCATTGATTTTCCCCATATGCATATAGTAAAAACTTCAAATATCCTCTTTTAAAGAACTCGAAGAGCTAGAGCTAAGATATTTAGCATGAAACATTTTCTAGTGAGTGTCTACAAAGGTTGTTCAAATAAAAGCCCTGGGGACAAAATTGGCCCCGCCCCGGGGGTCATTGATTTTCCTTATATGTGTATAGCAAAAATTTTAAATCTTCTTTGAAAAAACCCAAATAGCTAGAGTTTAGATATTAAGCATGAAACATCTTCTAGTAAGTGTCTACAAAGTTTGTTCAAATAAAAGCCCTGGGGTCAAAACTGGCCCGCCCCAGGGGTGTCATTGTTTTTAGCTCGACTATTCGATAAGAATAAGTAGAGCTATTGTAGTCACCCGAGCGTCGGCGTCGGCGTTGGTGTCCGCGTCGTCGTAACCACTTATGTTAAAGTTTTTGTAATAGTTCAAATATTTTCAAAGTCCATTGACATATGGCTTTGAAACTTGGCACACTTGTTCACCATCATGACCCCAACCTGTAGACAGGAGGAGGTAACTGTATCAAGCATTTTGACAGAATTATGCCCCTTTTTCGACTTAGAATTTACGTTAAAGTTTGTGTAATAGTTCAAATATTTTCAAAGTCCATTGACATATGGCTTTGAAACTTTGCACACTTGTTCACCATCATGACCCCAACCTGTAGACAGGAGGAGGTAACTGTATCAAGCATTTTGACAGAATTATGCCCCTTTTTCAACTTAAAATTTAAGTTAAAGTTTTTGTAATAGTTCAAATATTTTCAAAGTCCATTGACATGGCTTTGAAACTTGGCACACTTGTTCACCATCATGACCCCAACCTGTAGACAGGAGGAGGTAACTTTATCAAGCATTTTGACAGAATTATGCCCCTTTTTCGACTTAGAATTTACGTTAAAGTTTTTGTAATAGTTAAAATATTTTCAAAGTCCATTGACATATGGCTTTGAAACTTGGCACACTTGTTCACCATCATGACCCCAACCTGTAGACAGGAGGAGGTAACTGTATCAAGCATTTTGACAGAATTATGCCCCTTTTTCAACTTAGAATTTACGTTAAAGTTTTTGTAATAGTTCAAATATTTTCAAAGTCCATTGACATATGGCTTTGAAACTTTGAACACTTGTTCACCATCATGACCCCAACCTGTAAACAGGAGGAGGTAACTGTATCAAGCATTTTGACAGAATTATGCCCCTTTTTCGACTTAGAATTTACGTTAAAGTTTTTGTAATAGTTCAAATATTTTCAAAGTCCATTGACATATGGCTTTGAAACTTTGAACACTTGTTCACCATCATGACCCCAACCTGTAAACAGGAGGAGGTAACTCTATTAAGCATTTTGACAGAATTATGCCCCTTTTTCGACTTAGAATTTACGTTAAAGTTTTTGTAATAGTTCAAATATTTTCAAAGTCCATTGACATATGGCTTTGAAACTTTGCATACTTGTTCACCATCATGACCCCAACCTGTAAACAGGAGGAGGTAACTCTATCAAGCATTTTTTTTACTATCAAGCACTAAGAATAGTCGAGCGTTGCTGTCCTACCGACAGCTCTTGTTTGAAACTATAATGCCCAGAGCTTAGATATTTGATATAAAGTACATTGGATAGTGGCCAATTAGAATTGTTATACATGTATAAGTCATGCTCAAAGGGTCAATTATGGACCTACCCTGGGTGTCAATTAGTCTTCATTGGCTTGTTTAGAAAAAACGTCTGAAAATGCTCTTTCTAGAAGTATAGAGCTCGGAGCTTAGATATTTTGCATGCAGCAAATCCAGTAATCCTCTATACAAGTCATATAAGTAATGCATCTCAAACCGCCTTGGGGGTCACTGAATTCATAAAGACTTCTATAGGAAAGTTCATAAGTGTATAGTTTCTTTTCTCTCAGAAACTTAACTGCGCAGAATGCAAATTTTTGTCATGACGCATTGTCTCGTGGACCTCTACAAAAGTAATATTAGTATTTATCTTGGGGTCAAAATTGATCCCAACTAAAGGATTTCTTAGAATATACAGATTTATTCAGGAAAATACAATGAACATTTACGTTTTCTTCCGAGCAACTGCAATACACAGAGTTTTGTTTTTGTCATGAATCATTGCCTAGTGGACATCTACAACACAGTAACATAGACTTGTAAGTAAAAATATCTGAATCATTTTCTCTGATTTTAAATACAATGTCAGAGGCTTAGATATTTGGCGTGTATTATTTTGTAGCAGACATTTTGAATAACGCAGCTTGGATAAAAAAGCAATCCAAAAGAGATCTTATTGTCGAAGAATTATTACCTTTTCTAGGAACGTACCTCATGTGAGCAATCCATGGCCAAGGTCGCCCTCTTGTTTATAAAGGGACGTAACCCATGTAAAAATTAATGGAATAATGTAGATTACTTTAATTAGTAGGTATAAAGATAAAAAAAGTCTTCCCAGATATTACCTGATTTAATATCACGAAAATCGATATTCATACACAATTACAACACTTGTATCTGGGTAAATTAAATTATTAGCAAAAATATGAGCAATATAATGAGTACTTTTGTAAAAGGCCAAGACTGTGAATCTAAGAGCCAATGTCCTGAAAATAAACAATTTTAATGTGCCAAGTCAAAACCGATTAAAATGTTGTTTACTTTAATTCTGAATGGAACATAAACAGATTAGTTTTCTGATGTTAATGAGTCAGCGCTGTATTTTATGTTCATAACATTACAATTTATTTTACAAGTAAAGAATCGTGTTCATTACCAATATATGGTTGTGAAATTTTAATTACTGAATATTCAATGTCACTTTAAAAAAAATGTTTGATTTCAATGCTAATTAACACATAATTCAGATTTTTTTTCTTTTATTTTGTTCATTTAATTTTGTAAAAGTACGATCACTATCTTACGCAAGGGAAGTTACTCGAGATGAACTACTGCTATTCGTTGCAATTGATAACTTCCCTGTAAGACACTTTATTAGTATAATAATATATTTAACCATCGTAGAAAACAGATAACATATCTTATTTTAAATGTAGTCTTCTAAACGATATATAGAAACACAAAACATTATAAAGCAATAACAACTATTCCATTAAGAATTTGTCACAAACGCTCATTTAGGATATTTTGCAATATATAAGTTGGAGCGAGTTTTTATGGTATTACATTAAGCTTGGACACGTGTTATCTTCCCCGATTGAAGAACACGAATAGAGATTGCAAATTGGCTATCATTTCACCGATGTTTTCTACTTATGAATCCTTGAAATAAGAATAAAAAAATATAAACCACGAAATGTGTCATGGGAACCCAGGAATATTTGCTCAATAATGGTTTAATTCTTCAAATATTTCCTATTTATTTAGTTTTGGAAATTCCCTGTGAACTACACTTTTATATTTATGGCCAGCTCTTTTTGTTGTAATATTTATAACTCGCTTATCAGTTGCTATAAATAGCTATTAAATGACTTGGGATTTATTATTAGTACTGTTTAATTATTAATGTTCATAGATTCAAAATGTCAGCAAATAGAATTGGTGTTTATCTTTGAGTGCACCGTACATGTATATTCATTTGCTAGTCCTTGAGTGCACCGATTTCAGGATTTGCTAAGTACATGTACTTTCAATTCAGATAAGTTGAATTGGCCAAGATAATGTAATGATACTGATATTTTATCTATAACTAGGGCATTCTGTGATCATCAAAAAGATTTTTTCAGGGCTATCTATCCATTAATTCGACCATTTTTTAAATACTATATTTTGAAGGCAGTAAGCTGGGGATCTTTTGTCGCTTTAAACCAGCTCTCAAATTTAAAATATAATATCATTTTCAATTTCCAAGTAAAAATGAACGACGTGAAACTCGGCAGAACATTGTTTAAATATAATACAACAAAATGCCACCAAGATTTTTCTTTTCTTTTTAAAATCTTATACTTGTAGCTAAACCCGAGACTAAATTTTGCCACTTTAATAAATAGACACGGACACATATTAATTTTGTGAACACATCACCAGTTACTGACGGAAAATGCACAAACGGACTCAGCTGGTTGTTGTGTTGGTAGTTTTCATTCCGGGTCCCGACAGGAAGCGACATTGAATTTACCAAGGCACAGTTCTACCACCGCATCTGTCAAGCAGTTTCCCTGTACAAGTTGCCTTCACTTTCATTTAGGAACGTTTAACTTACGTGCACGCCAGAGTGCGAATGACCGTAGACAATCACAATGAAAGTGACCTACACCGTCGGGATCGACCCCGGGTCACTCGATTCACAGTTCAACGCTCCATTACTATTTAGCTAACTGGGCGGCACTGACTCAGTTGGAACACCTCACAGGTTTTTAATGCGAAATGCCGAGCTGTTGAAATTGGGCACGTTGCGTTGTATACTCATCGGAAATGCCGAAAAGTTGCATTTGGGCAACATTTGCCGTAATTTATCAAGGTAACAATAGGTGTATTTATTATGCAGGAGCGCTATCTGAAAACATAATAGTATATAGATAGATGAAAAACACACTTATCTATATAACTGAAGCTACTTATAAGGTATAACAAGGGCTCTTTGTAACATCATATCGGTTTGTCAGGGTTCACTTGCAAATTAAATGAGGCCAATCAAATTATTTTTGTAAAAATAATAAACACTAATGCATGCAGTGACAAATAAAAACTTAATTAAATTGCATGTAGTGTATGTTCTATTATAAAACTCATGAAATAAAAAAGAATGATTGTTTTTGTATAGTCAGTCTTAAACCCTTGCACAGTATTAAGACCGTTCTTAAATCTCATCAAGGTTATTTCAAAAACAAAGAATGTTCAAACATGTTATTGTTTCTAAATTCGAGAAGTCTCCTTTGATAATGTTTTGATAATTAAAGATCAAGACATTATCATTATTATTATTATTATTATTATTATTATTATTATTATTATTATTATTATTATTATTATTATTTATTATTATTGTTGTTATTATTATTATTATTATTATTATCATTATTATTATTATACTGGTCGTTGTTGTTGTCATTTTTAAATATACACCATATGTATAAAAATGTTGATGAAAATGGTAAGTAAAGTAATATGTCATTATTTTCAAAATACATGCACATGGCCACTTGGGTAGTGAACAAGTACACATCTTTTCAGCTGTTTCATTTTCTAAAGCGCACATTAAGCTTCGGGAATAAATATAATTTTTATTTATTAGAAAGTGAAAACATGTGTTATAAAATGTTTTAATAACATATTTAGAGTGTGTAATACGCTTATCTGATGAAGAACTGAAATTGTTGGTAAAATGCAATGTTGTATTTGTCCCTCCATACACCGTAATTGTAATATATAAAATATGCAAATAAGTTATTTATTTAGTTATACAACGGAGTAACAAGAAACCTAAAAAAAAAAAATAAGTAAATAAATATATAAATAAATATAGCATTTAAGAGACCTAGTGGACCTTGCTTCACCTTGAAGAGCGCATCTTTAAAGTATAAGTGTTACTCGTTGTATTCAAAACATGCGTATGTTGTTGTGCTAATATTTTATTGACATGATTATATACCTTATACAGCTATAGATAAGGCAGCAATATGACATTCATAGTTAATTGATAAATCAAAGTATGGTATGAAAGAAAATCAAGGAATTTAATTGTACTTAGAGCCCTATAGTGTGTACTCGAACTCGTCTAGCCGGCACTCGTACAAAAACCGCCCTGCACCATCCCAAAACTTTTTTGAATGTGTACTTAAGATCAATCTAGAACGGATCAATTCACGATTTTATTTATTGTATTAATTTTACTTAAACTACATTTTAATTCATGCGTGAAAGTCATAGGTCTACGGAACACCCAAAATGGGTTAATACTTGAAATGTGTCGTCGCATGTTCGGTTCAAAATACTTTATGAACTCAAGTCTTGTTGCTCAATCGTTAGTAAATACTTGACACAGGTGTGCAGTTGCTCGGCGACTTTGTTGTAAATAAATTGTAAATTCTCATTCAATCTCTCGCTTATACCCGGCTTTATATCGATAGATATATTTATTATTAACATGAATGAAAGTGGCAGAACCACAGTACGCATGCGCAAACTTTTGTACATTCCCATTGGTTTGCGGTTTAACCACGTGCTATTTCATTGATAGAGAGCTACCACAATCCTGTTTATACAGGTATTTTATTCTCACGATAGAATAAAAAAGGTAGTTTTAATACTTAAACGCAGGTATTTCATTTAGACGGACGGTACTGTACGGTAGAGGTGTGTCAAAAGATATTTTTGCGGTTTTTAGGAGCACACGACTTTGTAACTATAGATATCAGGGATTGTACAGCTTTAAGATTAATTAACTTTATAAATAGGAGTTACATTTCACTCTTTTCTGATTAAAGATATAGAGTCTATGTGTTTAACATTGGAAAGGAGAATAGATAGGGGAATTTGACAGTGACATAAATAAATCTTACGCCGAGACGATTGTGAAATTCATTTCATCAGACGTGAATGTGGGATATAGATATGAATAGACTTTCATAAAGCAGACTTAAAGCGTGGATATATTATTCAAATAAAGAAAGAAAACATTCAGTAGCAGAACTTTAGTTTAGACGGAAATATGGGTCAAACAACAGGAGAATCTGAGATAAAAGCTAAGCTCGTCGTGGTCGGGGATTGCGGGTGTGGAAAAACCACTATGATTAAAAGATATATCAGCAATTCTTATACTGATGTAAGTTTTTCTTCACTTTCTTAACGTTTTAGTTCATTGATTACTTCTCTTAAATTTTGAGCAAATATCATTTTCAACAAGAACTCTCTGGAACCTTTTGGTCTTGGTTTGAGCCCAAACTAAGGTAACGTATGTTTAACCTTATGTGACAGCAGTGCTGTTTAGTCTGGGACTGAAAATGGTTTACTATGTAAGTTTTGAACAGTTTTTAAGTGTTCGTTCAAAACCATACAGTAAATGTTATAACTGAATTAACAACTACTTTTTGATTAGTTTAATTATATTGTGAAAGTTTGACAATTCATCAAAGCCGGGTATACATATATACATGAATCAGATAAATATGAAAGGCCGAATTTGTCTTTATGTAGACACATACATGCATGTATTTACATTGTACTCTATTATCACCTGATGGGCTTATCAGCAGATAGGTGTCAGTCTAGACTATATAGATTACGATATCAGTTCGGATGTACAGTTTCTTATGTAAACTCGCATATCTTGTAATGTACATGAGTAACTTACATGTTTAGATAGATGACACATCTATGGAACACCATACCCGCGTCTATGGTGTCGTTATAACATTACCGTCGATAGAAAGACACGATTTACAAACAAAATTTAGAAGAAAACTTTCCTATAAATCTGTATGAAAATATCTATAAAAGTTGATCATCCTGATCGCAAAGAACGTTTGAATAAATTACCATTATTGTTTTCGTCTTTTCTCAAAATAAAAGAGAAAACAATGAACTCGGTTGCCATCTGGAAGTTAAAAAAAATAAATTAAACGAATATAACCTTTTATGATTATATTTGCCATTTAAATGATGAATGGGGTGAAGTAGCGCACAGTGATGTTGCGGGATAAAATATATTAAAATTTTAAACAACGCTGAAAATATATCTGAATTAATAAGTATAGAAGGTCGTAGTAGCAGTTCACAACATTTTAAATATAAATGTCATTTATAAACTAATGTTAGCAATAAAACATTAGACAGGAGTAGCAAACAACGGGCCCATTCTGATCCAGGAGTAATTTATGCCTGAAATACTTTCATTAATGAAAACGGGGAAACTTTTCTTTGCAAAATCGCAAAAATAAACAAAATTTATTGCATAAGAAATCAAATAAATCAAACTTATTGGATAACATTAAGTTTTATTTGGGATAAAAAAACTCTAAAAAACAACAACAATAAAATATAATAAAATTTAAACAAAAATACCGGCATGTCAGTTTGATCTGTTAAGTTATTTATCATCAGTTCTAATTATATAGCTTGATTCTCTCTTCTTTTTTTCTTTCAAACAAGACGTGGGATTTATCCGTGTAAACGATTTTGTGTCCACCCTTTAATAATATAAGTTTAGTGAAATAGATAAATTATCATACAAACGTGACACTTTTACAGTTAGGACAATTTGCCCACAAAATATTTGCTCTGAAGATCATATTTTTGTCATTTACATACATTATTACTGCTTGATAATGATGGTGATGATGAAATAATCAGGTATCCTCCATTCATTGAAGATATTTCAAATATAATATTGTCAAATATGGATGATGTACAAGAAATTCTAATTCATTAAAGGAATATGTTAAGCAAATTTCGAGCTATGTTTGCATTTCATTTTGTTTACTTAAAGCCCTTCCTAAAATATATATGTTTTCTTATCTAGTTTTATCAAGTGTTTTATCGGTTTATTTTAACACGGAAATTTATCTTTTGAATAACGTTTCAATTCATAAAAAATAATGAAACGCACCGGCACATGTGAACTTTACATATAATATCAACCTTGGGGAAATTAATTTATCAAAACGCATAAAATACTTTTCTTTTTTTATATACACTCACCTCTTCAAAGCTATCATTCAACTATCTTGAGTTTATTTAGAATCATTCAGAAGTAATTTTAATGGGTTAAACACTCGTGTAGGAATCTTGCCTCCTTAAGTTTTTATACAAGTAAAAGCGAAATTATTCAAGCATTATGACCGTTTGATATAAAAGAGGGAAAAAACTTGTTCACATCACATAAGTAGATCTAAGACATTCGGGTTTTACGGTATTTTAAGGAGGCACTGAACGCCCATTTAGACTAAAACAAAGCCAAAAAAATAACACAGAACGATGTTGTATAACTTTTGTTTGATATACAAGTCGAGACAGAATCTCAAAAGACATGATAATAATTCTTAAATGCTTAAATATGGCGCCGAGTCTATCATTAAGATCATTTAATGACAATAATTAATGCGCAAATATTGAAGGGAATATCCTAATCATTCATAAAAATGAAGTAATATATACAAATAACCTAAGTGTAAATTACGTTTGTCTGTCAGTATTGCGTTGTATACCTATCATAGAATTACCTAAAATGAAGTAACATTACGAAATTAGTAATTAGTACACTGTATTGTCTTTATATATGTTATTGAACTCCAATGGAGTCAGCAATATTTATTAAGAATTGTAATGAATATATGCATGAATTAAAAGCGTGAATTGCTTTTTTAATTTTTTTTTAAGTCTGTTTACACCGGAAAGCATGTTTGCATAATGTTGCGCAATTATTAACAGACAAGCGGATGCATTCTGACATTTAGATTAAACATGTCAATACAAACGTGTCATAATTTTTTCATCGCATAATGTAATTCTAGACATCAATTAATACACGGGTCATAATATTGTCATAAATTATCTAGCTTATATGTCGAACATTAGTTAAACGGAACGATGGATGACTAGAGGGGACATGTTGATCACCGCGACAAATTTTAGGGTGCCATAAATTTCACCTATTTGTAATCAGCACAAGTAATCGATTGTTGCGTTCTCTAGATAACGACAATCGATTAGGGTAATTGATGAACACCTATTTGTTTTAATTTTTCTTCCGTATCGGTTGAAATGATTGCCTTACGAAAAAAAATGAATGAAAATAAATAATTATAATTAAAAAAACACGCCCTGGACTTAGCCTTTCTGTCAACCGTGATCAATCATTTTGAAATCAACATTCGTTGCTAGAGCTTTAAGCTACAATCAATGTATTCAAATAAAATTAACAATCTTTATTAAAATATCCGTTACGTTAAGCAGAAAATCAAACTTTGTTCCTAAAATAACTTACGCTCAAAGTGTTTAAACAGCACGAATTGTATTGATGGTTGTCCGAGGGTCGATCTGTTTTCAAAGATTTTAATATAGACCGAAGAATTTTGGAACGATTAAAGAGCGCTTTTAATTTACATATATTGATGGCAAGTTGAATATGTCAATTTTAATTGCATTTCTCTTCTATAACGAAAACGCCTATATTTTCTTGATGATTTAGTTTTTATATAGAACAAGTCTATATATATATTATTCTTATTCATACATTATTAATATATTTATTATTCGTTTTGCTGAGGTATATTTATTTCAACTTGAATGTTTCTTAGTCACGTGACACTAGTCTTGTTATAACTGTATGATATAGCAGATAGCTAGCCTATAAGCAGATAACCTGATTAATTTCTGCACTGTCATTAATGTAAATACGTTATGTTTTATTCTTTGATATTGAATCCAAATTTCCCTTTGAAGAATTAAAAGGAAGTTTTCGCCGTCAATAAACTGTTTCAAAGTTAAAGGCATGCCACTGCGTACTTTTTTTGCCTTTCATCTGGAGGAACTATTTGCATGGTCATTGCAAAGTCATGGGACTTATTATTACAGACATTTTTATTTTATAAAATCTCAAGTTTTCTTAATGGTTATCTTATGGGGAAATCTGAAGAAAATAAGATTTTTTAAAGTGACTTGGCTGTATGACGCAGCTGACGAAATCCGCTTTGTTGATATAAAAATATATAATAATATGAAAGTCAAATGATGACACGAAAGGAATGTGTAACACGAACCTTTATTTCAATTCAAGCGGTTATTATTTACGTAAAAATACTATATACATTTCAAATGTAAATTCTTCCGCGATACGCTGTTGGAAAACCAACCCTGGTTACGAAATGTGATTAAGAAAGATTTATGTTAAGCTCGCCTCACCTTGAAAAATTGCTTAATTCAAACAAAAAAAGAAGGTGTTTTCTACATTATTTGATGTGTTGACATTTTGGCAACAAATTAACCCCATGATAGGTGTATTGCATTTGACCTCGAGGAGGGAAAATTAGATAACAAATGTAGGTCCATTTAAGATGTTTATCAAGTAACCTTGATATCTAAAACAATTATCATTTACTTAAAATGTTTAAGGTATAGGAAATTAATGTACACTATTGCATCAACTCTAAATAAGATATCGCGCGACATTGATAAAAATATACAGACCGTTTTATGATAGTCGTAAATTACGAAACTATGAAAGGCGGTAACCAACTCGCAAACCAGATGTTATCGTTAACCAAATTTGAGAGAGCTATTCACAAAAATACAACCTCATTAAGTGTTCGATCATTCATCACTGCGCTCAAACAGTTTTTCACCAAAAAACTTTTATCGAACCGAAACGCAGCATTAAAACCCCAAATGACCCACAACGAACCCAAAGTCATTCTATCGCGTAACCAGACTTCAAAAAATCAGTACAGCACACGTTGCGCTTGAGCAAGCCGGTATGTGAAGTGAATGCATCAATATACTTAAGTATAGTGAAAGGAAATCTTAAGTGGGTATAACAATTTACAATGTTTGACTAGATGAAAGGATGGGGGCGTTAAACAAGTAGAGATGAAAAACTATAAAGGGTTTGTTGGTACAGTTTTCCGCAAAAAAAATTTAAGAGGATGAAATTATATTTTCTCACGGTATGAATGCTTTCATTCCATTATATAAAAAACATGAATCGAGCCGTATAACGTCGTGCGCATGCCTTACTTTGCGCGCATAGTATGCCAATGTCAGAGAATGCTCTGGACATGACAATTGAACATGTATCTTTTCCAGTTAAAAACAATACAGTGTTTTCTGTTCAAAAAGGAGAAAAAAAAAGAAATCTATAACTTTTTTTCAATCACTGATAAGACTCACACTGGTTGTCACCCATTACGTATAGTTTTAAATAAGCAACATTATTTCAATAAAATATAATTTATTAGAAGTCGGTGCCACACGGTATAGTGGTAAATTGATGATATGACTTAAAATTAACGTTTTATCACAATACGTTACATTTTCATTTTTATCAAATCCATCTTATAATGAAATGATATGTCATTTATCCATTTTCTTTCTGCCCATCCAGTATCAAGGTGTACAAGTGTACATTTTAAAGTATTAAGTAGTTTTATTAAATTTTTCATCAAAGGAAAACGTTTTTTTTGAGTGGTTAGATGGGTGATGAGGAAAGGGAGCGTCGGCTGAAAAATAGAAAATACAATCTACTTGAAATTCAGATGAATAAATAAATAAATAAAATAAATAAATAAATAAATAAATAAATAAATAAATATAAATTAATTAATTAATTAAATAAATAAATAAATAAATAAATAAATAATATGTCTTACAAATTTTACCAATGATATTTAACCAACACGCGTGGATATATAGATATATGATAAAATATTCGGAGCTAAGTACCAGCACGGACTTGAATTACAATTAATGTCCTGTGTACCAGGTATAAATCTATTACACCTTCAAATTCAGACTTGTTAAAAACGAAAATAAATGTTTATATCATTATAAATTGCAGAAATAACAATTTGTGGCTTTGATTGACACGGATTTGGCAATATGTAGCACAAAAAAGCTTGAAGAAATGTTACTTTATTATCTCGCGTGATCATACGAGATGTTGATGCTGATTTTAGTTCCCCGGTGTCCCAGTTGGCACACAATATCTGTACTTGAGCACCATGAAAAGATACGGGAATCAAATTCCACAGATTCGCTTATTCTCAACGTTTTCAAATTCTAACACTTGAGAAATTCCATAAAATTATCTTTTAGAAGTTCTTTCAGCTATCAGGCACATTGCTCTTTGAAGCTAGATTTTCCCACGAAAAATGTTTTACTTCTAGTTAATTCAATTTATCATGCAAAGTTTCTTATGTTTTATATTGCTATATATTTTCAGACTTACACAGCAACTGGGTTCGATACCTATCACAGCACATATCAAGTTTCATCAACATATAAAATACAGATGTCAATATGGGACACTTCCGGTAAGTTTTACAACATGTACATTTTTATTAAGCCGCATGTCAGAAATGGCGTGGGTAACGTTTAAAATGGTTCAATTTTATATCACTGGTCGTTACAATATTTTGGTCAGCTTTATTTGTTTTAAATTATCCTTTAGATTGGCTTGAAACTTGGATATATATTGTATATCCTAAAACACCTTAAACGATATTATTTGGCCGAACCAAGTTCTAGAGAAGAACTTGAAACTGGACACTGTACTAATGAATATTTAAGTGGCTGTAGTTTTGTATTTAACCATTCAAAACTGTGATCGCTAAATTATAAACACATTTTTTTTTTAATTTGCTGTCATTATAAGACTGTTATAATAAACATTCCTGGGACCACAAAACACGAAATATCCTTGTGAAAATATGCGTTAATCAACATGATCTAGACATATTTAATACGCTATCAAATCATGCAATTAAGTTAAAGGATCTTCAGATGTTTTGATATGAATTGTACGGCTGATATATCAGCTAGACAGTGGAATGTAAAGATCATAAAATAAGCCTGACCTTTCAGGGGATAAAATAGAGATATATCAAATGTAAAAACGTATTCAAGTATTTGTTTTGGCCGATGATAGCGCTGTTAATAGCAAGGAATGAAGCGACCTCACGCGGAGTTCATAGTTGGGTTGCACACTTCATTTTAAATTGCCCGTAATTATGACATTTTGAGATCAAGAAGGGGATTTGTTAAAAGATAATATATTTTTATAAACAAGTATCCGGCGTTGTTAAGTCACTTAAAGAAAGATCACTTAAATACATGGAAAACTGGATCGATAGATATGTTTAAATACAATTTTACTATTTCAAAAAAAAAATCTTATATTGTCATGAACTGCATATTCAGCTGTCAAATATTAAAAGAAATGTTAAAAGGAAAACGCTGAAAATCTGCATATTTGCGAATACTCATCCTTCAGTCAAGTCGGACAAGAGCGCGCGTGCAGCGTTATCTCGCGTGCAATGCTATAGGAAATCTTAACCTTTCACCTAAGATGAAAGTAAAAACGGACGCTCTCACATACTTACAATGATACACCTGTCTACATATATATACTATATACATATCAATTCTGCAAAACGTATTGCTCCTTATCAATAATTCATCACATACTTTACGAGACTTATCGCCAAATTATCATCTGAATCTAAATCTGTCTTAATTTTCTTAGCAGAATCCGCCATTCGACGGTCTATAAATAATCTTAATTTCCTCGGTAATTGATTAATATAGATTCTGTCTGATGGAATACCAGGCCTGCTACGATCATGTGATTGCGTGACAAGCACGTGGAGCGTTTCTCATTACCGGTGACCAGTGCATTTCTATAATTCATTTCACGTGCATGCTTCTGCAGAATGCAAAGTGATTGATACAGCCTTGTAGAAACTGAGTGCAGCTCACATAATTTGTTTACTTTATATTGTGCATTCTGAGCGTTTTTCTTACAATCTTAGATTATTCTAGCAAAAACCAGTAAACTGGGTTGATATATATCTACATTGCTGGGTCAGTTCTATAAACAGCGTTCTTGAGATATACATGAGATATTCTGTAAGACTCAAATTGACCAATAGCGTACATGCACGTGTACAAAAAGTAGTGAATGCACGATAAAAAAATACACGATGATAGGAATAGAAATAGAGAGAGTGGGTGTTTTTTGTATCAAGTATATTTTCATACACAATGATTTGAGGTAAAATACTTTAACCCATGCTACGGACTAAAGTTATAGCAATTTTGCACCACTTTGAATATTTGGTTCAACATTATCAAATATACTTCTCCGATCAATCCCATGCTATTGCCAATCAAGGACTATTTCATGAAATGTATGCTATTGTTTTAATGGTCTCAGACGATTAACTAACGGATATTCAAACTATTTTGTCGGACTAGCAAATCTTTTATTATTTTTCAAAGTGTCATGCAGGTGTTATAACTCTTTCTATGTTCGGTGCCAAGTATTTAACATTTTGCTGACCTGTTTTATAGGAAATCACAATGAAATCTGAAGGGACTGTTGCAGACTGGAATGTCGCGGGTAGGAAATATTTGACCTGTCTTGCAGACGACAAAATGGGATTGGCAAAAAGAACGCCGAATGAAACGCACCGCCGTCGCAGTCATTCCCTTAAAGTATCAGGGTTAAGATAGGAATGCATTGAATGTTGGCACCTTTTGCAGGACACCGCGAATCATATGGGTTTTTTATAGCTTGCGAATTAAAATGCTTTTATTTCATGAACAAACGTGAATTTCGGCTGACTTTGGAATGTGGGTACACTCTTGGTGATCTTGTGTCAGAGTGAATACATTAACATTTAATGCATGCATGGTCATTTAAAAAAAAAAACAACTTTATATACGTTTTGCGTTAACATTCGATATGGGGATTCTGTCTGGCATTTCTTAAAATTAATTTCATTAAGTCATGATTGACCTCATAAAAATAAGGTCATTTTATAAGGAAAGTTAAAGTGAAACGAAAAGATTCACTAATTCATTCATTTTTAATTTAGGGTGCGTTAAATGCGGCTTTTACATTCTTTTGTGGTTTAAATCTCACTGATTGTTTAATTCGTTTTCAACAGGATTAACGGATAATCCGTTTTGGACAGATTTTATTTCTCCCTTTCATATTCATAATCGCACCGGTATACTTTTTTGATCTTTAGAACTTAGGATTGTTCGTCTAAGAGTGTTTCCTTTATACTTCCATTATTCTTCTATTGTTCCATTCACGCGACATATTTTAACATTTGGGTATTACTTACGGTTGATTAAGACTAATTAGCATATATGCAAATAAGATACGGGTGCCAAATTTTAGGAAGGCAAATATATTTTCAAGAAAGGAATTTAATCACGCTGAATGATAATTTAGGCACGCAAGTTTCGTTAAGTTTATCTGATTATAACTTCACAGATTACATGACCATTTGATATATTAGCCACAATTTATTAGGCACATAGCCGAAAATGCTTACAGCTTAACCTTGTACTTGAGCAATCCTTTAATGTTCATTTATATATTGGGCATTAATTCCGTGTGGGATTGGGGGTAATGTAAATTTACAGCTAAATTTTGCTTCAATAATCACTTCATAAGTAAATTTATACGTGTAAAATGTATATATTATGTTGATTTACGACATTAACTTAAATGCAAGATCGAAACTGATTCAGTACAAACATAAACTATAAAAAAATAATAAGTAAAACGAGTGCGTTCTTTTTATCATCACTCCGGGGATTGTACCGATCATCACTTTTGTTACAGCAACCGTGAAGCTGTTTTCATATCTATCGCACTATATCAGCTTTTATTAAGTAAAGAAATGGTCCTTTTTATAATTTCAGCTTCGTAAATTTTTGTCACCGTCCTTTGAAGCAATGTGTTTAACAAAAGAATTTACAAGCCAAGCTTGTTGGGAAGTTATTCATAACTATATTTACATAATGTGACATCAAAGGGATTTGCGCTTTGGGGTCTAGACAACTAATTAAAACACGAATAGCGTGCATCACTGTTAAATCGCGTGCATACATGCACACTAAAGTATCAAAGTAAAAATCATCGAAAATTAGATTCAAGTATGTGCTTACGCCGCGTCATTTTAATTAACACATCCGCTCCTTCTTGGAAACAGAAGGTGAATGAGGAAAAGAAAATGTTAAAAATTCGAACCTTAAAGACATATTGTTTCCCGTCAAATTTTAATTGATTGATTTACGCACTTTGATTCCTGCGCTGACTTTGCTAATAAATTCACTGACAAAGCACATTTTCATATCGTTATCAGATGTTCTAAAACAAAACCTTTTCCCCCTGATTTTAAGACTTTTTATCTCCCGTAAAAATCAAATTGTTATCAATTCTAGTTGAAAGAAAATAAGATCTAGTTCAACACGCCTGTTTTTCAGACAATGTTGCCAAACGAAATTTCCGTATGCTTCTTAGAAAGGGAAAGAAGTTTGAGTTTCCTGCAATCACGTGCAGTATACGTCAGCCAAACCGGAAACAAGTGTTACTCCTATTTAAATGAAAATGCACTGTATTTCCTGTATTGCTTGAGTTGATTTTTTTTAAAATAATGAATAATTCAAACGATCGGTCACAAGTTTTGCAGTTTAAGGAAATATGGGACGAGAGCTCTGTAGGTCAATGCTTGGGGTCAGGGCTTGTTGTTTCTATCTGCCGTTCCAAATTATTATTATTGAACTAGGAATTTCACAGATAATACATTATATTGTCCTCCATGTACACATTATTTATTGAAAGTTTTAAGGAATATCTTACATTTATATTTTCAGGTGACCCGGGATATGATAGGGTGCGGCCGGTATCTTATACAGACGCTGACCTAGTTCTTGCCTGCTTTTCAATAGGAAACCCGGAATCCCTTCACAACATTGCAACAAAGGTAATTATGCCGTACTCAGTCTTGTTCGTGTGTGTAAAATTATACGTGTATCAACATTTTAAATTATTGACAATTAGCTTAACACAATTACTGAAGAAATTACACTGTATCATTTCAAATTAGATGGGTTGTTTTGAAAAACATTTACAAACATTGTACACGTTAGCACTGTCATGTATATAAGGTCGTTGTTTGTAGTATTTGATTTCGTATTCTCAGCGTTTTTCTAGATTTCATTATAATCTCATTTAGATCATGTATTCAATGACATGGTACTGGATATAACATAAAGGACACGAGTCCGATTAATTACATTGATGTTTAGTGTTTCGTCACCAACTGATATATGACCGACTAGATACACCTCCTAATTATTGATGTGTGTAATTCTCTCCACCAATTTCCGACCTTCAGATATACCCGTGCTATTATCTCTTTGTAAAAAATAAAGGATTGTTGGTAAACAAACACACATTGTCTCTCTTACCAAGGGCATTGACATCATTGGAAACCTTTGGAATCAGTTGTTTTATCTTTCCGTGTTTTGCTGTTCTGTTCGCATATTGAGAATACAATTTGGTACGAGTATTATATTGTATTACATATAGAAGCGTGAACAAGTCTGTATTAAAAATTTTATGTATATTTCAGTGGTTACCGGAAATACGGAAGAACTGTCCAACACAGCCAATTATCGTTGTAGGTTGCGGGACTGACATGCGGACCGATGAAAATGTGCTGGCCAAACTTGCAAAAGATAAACAAACTCCAATTACATATGAACAGGTAAACACCCACGAATCTTTCTTAAAAGTGCACCATATATAAGGACATGTTCAAATCAGCAGATATTTCAAATTGTGAGAATAAACAAAGACAAAGTATTTAAAACGATATATATTTTTGAACAGAAGAAAATCACATAGGTTCGATTAACTTTTATCCATGTCTAAATTGTCTTCTCATGTTTCAGTTTGAGATACCTGGTATTCAATTTCTGTTCACATATAATCATTTTCGATATATGCAATTCTATTCTAACCCATGTTTTCATCTTTCTGTAGGGTTTGAAAACGGCAAAAGATATCGAAGCATTGGTGTATTCCGAGGTGTCAGCTAAAACCTCTGAGAGAAGTGTAAAAGACGTTATTGAAGTTGCTGCACTATCATCAGTTGGCACAAAAAATAGTGAAACCCAATTTAAAAGACAAAAATCGTTTATAAAGAGAAAGAGGTTCAGCGGCATGGGCGAGGCAAAGACCACTTTACGGAAAGAAGCAACGAAAAGCTGTGTAATTATGTGAACAATTAACCTACACATTAACTTTCCGGGTATTTTACGCCAGTTGGTATAATGGATACATTGCCAAACCGAGAAGGAGTAGCATTAGAACTGAACATTGTGAGAATTTCACGTGCTCTAACCGGACGTTGTGGAAAGTGGTGGAGAAACTTTAAAAATGAACAAGGAAAAATATATATAGAAGGGTGCGACAGGGACAAGTGTTAAAATGTGTGTGTATAGACGAGTTATTTAATAGTATAAATGTGTGCGTGCATGTGTGAAATCGAAACAGACATACCTGGGTATTAAAATTACGCCAGGCATGAAATTTTATAGTTGTTATAATAAGATTAATTTAGAAAACGTGTAATAGGAACTCTAGTACGAGACGAAAATGGTTTAATAGCCGCCTGTTACATACAGGTAATAGTTTAATGACCGTTGATCTGTAGGTCGCCTAATCCTTCGGAGATGTAAACCTTACATATCCGGGGATTGAACAGACATGGGGTATTTGCTTTAAGTTTAATAGCATGTTTAAACATTTAAAACAGATGATATACTTAAAGACAACAATCCCCGTTATTGTATACTTTAGTCTAGGTGTTTGCTCTGTGAATTAACATTTTTCAGTCTCACGTTATCTAACTTTACTTGGCAATTAAATGCTCAAAAAGACCGGAAGCTACTAGATTACAAATGTTTATTTGTTTTTGTCATTTTTCTAAAGCTGGGGTTAGTTATAAGACAGTTGCTTTTAATCTAATTCAAATTATCCATTCACAAGAGATGCAAATATCTTATTCAAACATAAACCGGAATACTAGGATATTGGAGTAAACAGGTCTATTGAAAGTATTCACTTGTCACACAGCACAAAAAGTTCACCAATATTTGAAACACCCACATCTTTTTTGATGCCTCGCTTATTTTAAAGTTTCAAATCGAGAATGAAATGCATTTTATAAACTGTGAATGAAATTCGCCTGCCGTGTTTACTTTAAGGTCGAATTCTATTTTTTTACAATTGGGCAAATGTTTGCATGATTAAGATGTTTAAATATGGCAACTGGTTCAATAAAACGGAACAGGTGAGAAAGACCCATGCTAAGAAATTTTATCAAAGGCAATTTTTCAAACGGAAACCATTTTATACTTTTAGATTTGACGCTGTTGCCAGGCATTTTTGTCTCGATACTTTTTTGTACAATATGTTCAATAATATAAAAGATTACTGTTGACCTGTTTTTTTTGTAAAAGGTTGATGTCACATGGGTTTTTAATATGAGTCACGATATTTTCGTAGTTATGTATAATTTTAGGACGATATTCTCGTGGACTTAAAATTATGTAGCACGATATTTTCGTGGTTTTATAATTTTTGCACGATATTCTCGTGTACTTATTTTATGTAGCACGATATTTTCGTGATTGTTTTTTTTAATTATAGCACGATATTTTCGTGGACTTGAATTATATAGCACGATAATTTCGTAGTTTAATATATTTAGCACGATATTTTCGTGGTTTTATATATTTAGCTCGATATTTTCGTGGGTAGTTTATTATTAGAGGTGTAAAAAAATAATACCCGGGTGCTGGAGCGTAGATCGCTTTTTCAAGTAATGATGTGCAATAAATCAAATCTTGCTATCCTCATGTATTATTTATGTCATTATTTATGTCATTATCATTATGTCCATAATGTAAATATGAACTCACTTGTTTTTATAAAGCCTTGAAGTATTATATGTTATTTATAAGTTAAGGTTGTGTACCAATCGTGATGCCAATTATAAATTCATATTTATTTGCATTATGGTTTGGGGGAGTTGGGTTAACACGATGGATAATTCATCAATAAATGTCCATGATTAATATCAGTAATAAATGTCAAAGAAATATGTCTTTATATAATGCATGTGCTGGTATGTTAAGAGTACTAATTAGTGTATATTAGTACCATAAAACATAACAAAAGAATACGTTGTCTAAAAATAGTAACATCAAAATGATTAACTGGACACATTCCTGAATTTTTGAATTCATTCTTTTAGATTACAACATGTATATCTTTTAATGAAAATTTTAATTCGTCATTTTTATGTTATTGTCAAAATCGATTGAAATGCAATTTTGAATGAAGAGAAAAATGTTATATATATAATTCGCAAGATTTTACTTTGGTATATGTGCACACGGTTTGTACATGTATCAAAGGATGCTTTTTTTTGTTTTGTGTTTTATAGACATGTAGCAAGTTGTTAAAATTATTTCTCTTTACGTGTGTTTTTTATTTGCTTAGTTCTGTGTTCTCCGGAAAAAAATATTTGAAAATGTAATAAAAATGTGAAAATATAAAGAAAACTGTGATAAAAATAAAAGATGAAAATTTGAAAATTTTGTTTTTATTATCAGCATGCAAAACTAGTAAAAACCCTGTTAAGAAGAAGAAAAGATCTTGCGATTTTATGTTGTTTTCCGAATGGGTCTTTTTTGGAGAGTTTCTTTTCTTATCAGAATTCTTTCAAACAGAACTCTTGTGTAAAGAAAAGCAGTTGTCTGAACCAAAATGTTCTCTGTAAAAGGAGATTCCTCAAGTAACTTACAAATTCTTACAGCATTTATAGAAATGAACCATTGGGAGCAACTGAATAACGGAAATGGATGTCAAGAAGTTATATACATTGTACATGCAAAGCCAAACTGTGTCGGACTCTTCCACTTTCCGATGTTCGAACACATAATGGACTTCTAGTCAGTTTACAGATACCTTCTTCGATAAAACATAAATATCCGTTACATGCCGTATAAATGTAGGACGAGACATGAAGGGAGATGAAACGTGAAAAGATGTGTTATACTTAAATATGAGCCGCGTCACGACAAAACCAACATAGTGCGTTTGCGACCAGCATGGATCCAGACCAGCCTGCGCATCCGCGCAGTCTGATCAGGATTCATGCTGTTCGCTATCAGTTTCTCTACTTGTAAGAGTTGGTAAGCGAACAGCATGGATCCTGATCAGACTGCGCGGATGCGCAGGCTGGTCTGGATCCATGCTGGTCGCAAACGCACTATGTTGGTTTTGTCATGACGCGGCTCATATATTAATGATAAGATAGATATGCCGAATACCCACATCCTCACTCCCACTATTCGCCCTAAATTCAGTTTCTTTGATGATCAACTGTGCTATTAATGGTCGTTGAACTCTCCTCACCACTATTGTTGAAAAAGGCATTAACCAATTATTGTGTAAAAATAATAAGAGGATATTTTTTCGTTTGAGTGAAATATGGAATATATTTTTACGAAACATGATAAAATGCCACATATTTTCACGAGCCGGGACGGCAAGTGAAAATATGTGACATTTTATCATGTTGAGTAAAAATATATACCATATTTCACGAAAAACGAAAAAATAACCTTTTTATTTAATTTCATTATCAAAGAAAAATGGTTACGAAACCTATTGCTTGCTACGCAACTGCAATTTTATCATGCCATTACTATGACAACTGCCTGATAAAGCCTGTCTGAGAACAGCAACCTTTCTCAGTCAGTGACTTGAGAACACTATGTTCCTACGCCAGATCAGCATTGATGATGTTTATTGTTGGTATTGTTTAATTGACTTTGCTGAATATTTATGATAATACACAGTAAATAAATTGTTAAAGCAAATTGTACCAAAAATTGTGTTGTGTTATAAAATTATTGGTAAAAACCCTCGGACTACTTTTTTAACGTATAACCCTCTTGTGGTTACCGTACTCTCAGAATTTAGCGCCCCGAATTAAAAAAATAAGATGCAAAATCATAATAGAGGCATGATAAAAAAAATAACAGGTTACTGTCTTTTGAGAAAGGGATTTCTCAGACTCGGCTAGATATGGTCCGGAAGGGGCTCGGCAAGCCTCGCCCCTTCCAGGACCATATCTAACCTCGTCTGAGAAACCCTTTCTCAAAAGACAGTAACCTGTTATTCTCTATGTACAGCGCGCAGCAAATATTATTGCGTCTTGTGTTGCATGCGATATTTGGCGCTACATTGTGACGTCACGTAAACAACTGTTTAAACGTATGTACAGCGTTAATAACTGAATTAAAGATATAGAGGATATTTGTTTGTTTCAGTGTAAGATCGAAAAATATTTCACCGAGTGAACACCAGATGCAATATTTTCCACGAGTGGCGTAGCCACGAGTGAAAATATAATAGCTGGGGTTCACGAGTGAAATATTATTTGATCTTACATGTAAAACAAACAAATTTTCTGTTTATTTCATGATTTTTTAACGATTTTTACACCATTTTACTGATTTTTGCCGCGTAACGTCATGCTCTTATCTTCATGACGTCATCAAATAATGACGTCACAATGTTGAAGCAAAATATAATTCCATGATTATTTTTAGATTTTAGATGTATTTCAGCACAACGTTCGTAAATATTTACGAACTACAGTTATCACGTACATTTTTTATTATGATTGACTACATTTCCGCTGAAAAAAAACATTCATTAATGATAAATATTTTATTTTTACGCCAAATATAGTTCGGCTACTGTGAAATTATATTTGGTAATCATTACTGTGAAATTATCAGAATATAATTAACCGTTATAATTCAGTAATCTACTGCAAAACATGTAATAAATAGATGATATTGAATGAGTGTAGGTTTAATACTAAATTTACTGAACGAGTTGAATAAAATCATATTATGCGAGCCTCTGGCGAGCATAATATTGTTTTATTCAACGAGTTCAATAAATTTAGTATTGAATCTACACGAATATAATATTCTATTTATCACATATATGAAATAAGAACGGTAAACTGTTAACAAGAGTCATTTTTCTTTGACGCGCCTATAGTGTAACGCTAATATTAGCGCGCTTTAACGCTATGTTTATATAGAGAATAATAGGTTGGTGCCGTGGATTGAGAAAGTTTATCTGGCGAGGCGGAGGAATTTATTGGGTGAGCCGAAGGCGAACCCAATAAATTCCGGAGCAGAGCCAGATAAACTCTCTCCATCCACGGCACCAATCTATTATTCTATTTATCCTGTCACCGTTTTTTTAAAGAATTTTATTAGGCAAACAACCTTTAATCACACTATCGGAAATGTTTCTATCTAAACAAAGAAGGCCCTAATTTTTCTACACCAATGCACTCGCCGTTCTTATTATCTCCCCGTGTATTTTCACATTGAGGGCGCCATTTTGTTTGAAAAATGTGATAAATAAAAACAAATTTTTGTCGAATTTTTGTTGTGAAAACTATCTAGAATGAAAGAAAATAATCTAACTAAGAAAATGAATTCGAATACCAATATCTTTTATTCAGTCGTTAACGCTGTACAGACGTTTAAAGTATTGTTTACGTGACGTCACAATGTAGCGCCAAACAGCACGTGCAAAACAATCAAATCAAGTACGCTATTCTAAAATGTCGCAAACAGTTAAGTTTTACATTTATTTCACTTAAAATAATTTTTATTTCGCTTGAAAAATTATAGAGTTAAATAAAATAAACAAACAAAGTTTTATCAACGTTTCCAAAATTCGTTATTCTACACACAGAAGATTTAACGACAGTTTTTATATTTTTTCTTGAAAAGTAGTCCGGCAAACATGCATACCACGTGATCAAGTGCCGTAGATCAGTAAAAATATACGGCACCTTGTTATCGGGCCGAAATTGAGACAAGTGACAGGATAAAGTGCAAATGACGTGACGTCAAAGTGTTATTACACTAGTGTAATATCGTCTAGTGTAATATCGTTTTTATTAAATGGCTTTATTACACTCCTGCGCCGCGGTTTATGTGATAAATTGGTGTTCGGATTTATTTTCTTAGTTAGACCATTTTCTATCATTCTAGATAGTTTTCAAAGCAAAATTCAACAAAAATTTGTTTTGTATTTATCAGATTTTTCAAACAAAATGGCGAAAGAAGTCCCTAAGAATAAATATGAGTTTTGACTCCGCCCACTTTCATATTTATATTTCATATTTAATTTTAAAAAATATGAAATATCCATATTTCATGAGAAAAATTAAATAATCATTGAAATTAGTCTAAAAATCATCTGAAAATATCCGGAACTTAAAACAAATGTTTTCTGTACAGCTTACATTGTGTTTGCACAATAATCTAACATCTATATATGCGACAAGATAAGTAATCTTTTTTTTATAAATAATATATATCTTTTTTATAAATAATATATATGCAAGCTATTCCTTGTAAAAAAGTTTTTAATGAAATATATGATATAGTTAAAACACTCTTACTTCATAAATGTATATTCTATATTTAAGTAGCAAATTATTTTCATAATCTGTTAATTGAAGGTGACTTTTACTGTAATCAGACAGACGGACATCAACGTCATTCGTAAATTTATACTTTTGTGCCAATATCTTAAAGTCAACACGGTACCGCGTCATAAGTCCATTACAAACGTCCATAAATAAAATCTTATTTTTACTGCAATTCCTATCTATGAAAGTACAAGTAGATATCTCAAATACCAGACTAAAGTTCATCTGTAATTTACTCTATTTTACGTTACCTTGAAATCTGACAGGTGGATTTTGGACCAGTGTACTTTTCATTCTTCATTGGGCCTCATGTGTTTAAGCCCTTTTGCTGTTTGATTTAGAATATTAAGACCTACATTTCAAGAATATCATATTCGCATTAGAGCTGATGTCTTGGTAGCCATTTTCTCCAGATGAAAATTTACGTTAATGACGCTTTTCTTTAATTAAAAAATGTGCCTTTGCCACTTTTACAGCAAGCAGTGTGTGTGAAAATAATTAAATTTTGATCGCAACCAACAAATCTGCATAACTAGGTCATTAGCTAAGTCTGTTCTAGAATCGTTACCATTATTCTATTGATGAAATGGAATCTTTTTGTCTTCACATTTAATAAAGTTCTATTAAGACAAACATATACAGATAATGCGGCACAAATTATGGGTTTCTATACCTAGACTAACCGTTTAATTTGACTACATGACATTAGTTTAAACAGACAATGCATCAATGCATACTTTAAGTCTATATCATTATGACAGAAAAAATGTATTTCAAGTTAAATCATTCACGTTTGAATTGGCCTCCCGAAATTTACCATCACTGGTGTTCCATGGGAAAACATGGTCATGCAAACCCAAGATCCATGGGTTGAAAGGCAGGCAATGAAACCACTTAAGTCACCACTCTCAACAATAGGTCTTGGCGCCCTGTATAGTGTATATGGGTGAAATAGTTCGATAATGCAATAGAATAAGCACTGTCTCTTCTTTTCAGTTTATAAATTCACAGCAACTTCAAGGGGTTTTGAACAGCATTTGTGAAATCTTCAAGTGG